ACCTTTTTCACAGGAGTTTTCACAGCCACTCCTCCAATAATTTTTGTTTCATACACAACACGTTCTGTCTTTTCTGATGTATTGTCTTTGTCAGTCCCAACTGTGCGATGATTTGCTGATTTCTCTTCCCTGGCAGTGGAGTCATCCTTTCTCTTAGTGGGATGTACCTTGAAATGTGGCAAAGGTTGGAGGTTTCACAGTTAATCAAAGATAGTGACGTTGTGAAATATAGTTTGTAAATCAGGAGATCCTGGGAGTGTAAAGACCCTCAGGACAAGTTATTAGAATCAGCAAAAAAGTGACTGTTGAAGCTTTACAAGATATGAAAGCGCTGGCTTAAGACTTTTCATTGAGAAATGTAGGTGCAGTGTAAAGAAACAACAAGAGTTTGCAATGTAATTGTTAACTAAAGGCAGATTTTCATATGTTGAAAAGTCCCACATGGTCATAATTTTGCTTTTCCCACCCATCTCAGATAATCAACCTTTAGTTGCCTTGGTGACCAGCTGGTCACAATTTCAGGCCTGAAGTTGCCTTTATTTAAGTTGATCAATCCAATTGACAACTTTTAGCATAATATTAAGTAGAGTTAACCTATTATTATATGAATACAAAATTTATCAATTATTCCAAATTGAACTGTTTATGATACAAACAGGTTGATACTTACAGCAGCTTTGCGGAGTGTTCGTATCCATTCTTCTCCTCCTTCTTTGGTGTCAGCTCGTACATAATATCTTTCACTACATGTTTGAATCTCTGTCAAAGTAAAATAACAATAGTACAGCACAATTCTATTTGCTTCTTCAGCTTATAATGCGAATCCTTGAAAAACAACCAGTATAAAGAGCAAATTTTGACCCTTAAATTCCCCAAGATCTGATCAATAATTCTCCCCTCTAGCTGCTACTAACACATTTCCTTATAAATGATTTATTAGAATTTAGTGTTAGATCGAGATAAAAAATGCTGCACTACTGCACACTCGATAAGCTGGAAACCACTCCGCTTCGCGTCGTGGTTTCCTACACTTATCTCGTGTTCTCTCAACCTCCCACGTGTTTACATCAGGCTATGTAAACACAGAAACCATTTTACATTTCTTCAACATCACACTTTGCCTGGTTTACACTTAACTTACCAATACATCCTTCATTTTTTGACTTGTCCTCAATCTGTTGTAAGAGCATTAAACACAAAAACAATCAATTAAAACTACTCACAAGTAAACTCTTGTTAATCAACACTTTAATTATTACAATTTTAACCCTTTAACTCCCATGAGTGACCAAGACAGAATTTCTCCTTACAGTATCAATACAATATCAACCAGATAAGAGATGAGAATAAACAAAAATATCAATTTGGGGATAATTAGTTGATCCAATACTAAATTCTCTGAACTAACATTATAAGAATTGTATGGTTGAAAGTAAGGAGAATTACAAATTTGATCTGAGAGTTAAAGGGTTAAATACATGGTATAGTGACAGCAATTGTAGCAATATTGTACAACTTGCATAGGTCTCATATAAACTTATAAAAATGTAATAGAACGATATGTTTTTCGAAATCAAATGTATTGAAAGTCATCAAACATAGCGAGGATCTTTTTGCTTATCAATTAAATACAGATCAAATCTGTTCTGCCAAGTGAGAATTTTTTTAAAAAACAAGCAAATCAGGACTGAAAAGCTTGTGATTCAAACATGTTGTTTCAACTTCCTACAGGGGTAATGTTCTATTTGCAAATTACAATTTGTAAAACGTTTTAACAGAAATTGCTTTTTATTGCTTAAAAGGATAAAAGATTCAAGGATAAAATGAAAATATTTCACAACTATTCACTAAAGTAGAAGGTAAATATTCACTATCACTGACATTGCATATGAGGTGAAATGTTTTAAATTATTTTTATAATAGTACCACACAGAAACCAAAACAAAAAGTTTCTGTCAATATAGACCAAAAAATGAAAGGAAATCTTACACTTGACATACAGTCTCTCTTTTCAGGTGCTCAGAGGGGAACGATACTTTCTAATCACTTCTAAAATAGCTCATCAGTGTGTGCAAAAGACACATTTTACCTGTATGTTATAAACTTATATAATTAATTGTGAAACATTTCACTTCATGCAGTCTAACCTTGGTAATACGCCTGATGTTTATCTCCCCCTTATAATCCTCCCAATCCAATTTAACTTTTTCCTACAACAACAAAAGAGAAAAAAAACATTTTAAATATAAATTCACAAGGTTGGACTGAAATACAGAAAATGATTTTTTCCCTAGTTTGATAGGCTAATACATAGTGACATTTTAATGAAACCTTTTTTCAATGGAATGCTACATGTTCATGATTGCTATTAAGCATTATTCTAGGAATCTTCAAGTGACTGGTATGTTTCTTAATGCTGTAACTTTTCAGAAATTATTTTGCTTTTGCATTCCATCTTATGCTAAAAACAGTTGAGTTGATATAAAAAAGCAAGTTGGGGTAGATTGACTTAGATGCCCAAAGTGGGGGATGACAAAAAGTTCTTGTTGCCTGAAAAAAATACATTGCATATGAGGTAAATAATTGTTTTTAATTAGTATATACCACAAAGAAACCAAAACAAATAGTTTCTTCCTTCGAGTGACTGGTGTGTTGCTTAATGCTGTAACTTTTCAGAAATTATTTTGCTGTTGCAGTCCATCTTATGCTAAAAACAGTTAAGTTGATATAAAAAAGCAAGTTGGGGTAGATTGACCTAGATGCCCAAAGTGGGGGATGACAAAAAGTTCTTGTTGCCTGAAAAAAAAACATTGCATGTGAGGTGAATAATTGTTTTTAATTAGTATATACCACAAAGAAACCAAAACAAATAGTTTCTTCCTTCGAGTGACTGGTGTGTTGCTTAATGCTGTAACTTTTCAGAAATTATTTTGCTGTTGCAGTCCATCTTATACTAAAAACAGTTAAGTTGATATAAAAAAGCAAGTTGGGGTAGATTGACTTAGATGCCCAAAGTGAAAGATGACAGAAAGTTCTTGTTGCCTGAAAAAAATACATTGCATAGGAGGTAAATAATTGTTTTTAATTAGTATATACCACAAAGAAACCAAAACAAATAGTTTCTTCCCTTGAGTGACTGGTGTGTTGCTTAATGCTGTAACTTTTCAGAAATTATTTTGCCATTGCAGCCCATCTTATACTTAAATAAGTTGGGTTGACATAAAAAAGCAAGTTAAGATAGATTGTCTAAGATGCCAGTGGTGGTGGGGAATGACAGGAAGCTCTTGTTGCCTGAAAAAAATACTTATCTAGACTTCATAACTAGAATGGCTAAACAGCTCTTTGCTGTCTTGAATTTTTTATTTTTTAAAGAGAGAGAGATTTTTGCACTGTAACTGTAATCAGTAATGTCCAAAAGCATATGTTGCCTCTGTCAGTTTTGTTATAACCTGTTGCAATTAAATATAATGATGATCAAGAAGATATGGAGCTGAGTTATGTAACAAAAACTTCCTCACCAACTCTATGTAAAACCAAAAAGGAAACCACTGATTATTTTTCTTCAAATAGTATTACATCTGTCAGTAATCTTATTAAAGTTGATGAACTTCCTCAGTGAAGTGGTCCATAACTGTGACAGATTACTCAGTTTTCATGGCAATGCCCTGATGTAACCTTGACAAACAGTCCACAAGATGTAATTTAGAACCTGTAACATAAGCTTAATTTTTCGCATTTCTTTTTTATAATTCCTAGGAACTATTTCATTTTCTCCAAAAATTGTGACAGCATTCTGCCTAAAAGCTCAAGTTAACTGAAAAACATCTTCCTCAGGATTCAACCAAACCAGACAGGTTCTTGCACCAAGAAACGTGTCCAAATTTATAAATATAGCTGCTGGTTAAAATGGTACATTGATCAGGAAAAATATATCAAGAGCAGTTTGAATGACTGTTGTCTCAAACCAGTCACACGTTCAGATTGAGATGCGATCGAAACGCCGCGTACCCACCTCTAAGAGAACAAATCAGACTAAGCAACTTCACAGATGAAAATAATTTTACTATCAAAAAGCAAAATATTTCCTGTACATTACAAGCCGGTTACTGCAGTAACCTGTTCGCGACGAAGAGCTAAAAATAGCTGCGATAAGCATAACCTTTTCCTCACTGCCTTTTGTTTTCTTTTAACTTTAAAAAAATTACACCTGTATTGTGTCAGATCGCGACCCTTTGAGTTAGCAATATTCGTGACTTGGGTTCCGATGGTTTAATTCCCAATCAAACTTATAGTCTATCAATTTCCTGTTATATCCAAAATACATATCTGCTCTCACATGTCAACATTTCAGATAACTTTCTAGAAATTTCTGTACCTGAACAGAAAATATTTTTTGGCGAAACAACCAATGGAAAATTAAAGTTAGTGTATAGTGATCAAGAATACGGAAGTGTTTGTAGACAGTATGTCTTTCATTGATCAGAGTGTTAATTAGGTTCTCTTGATCGAGGGAATTAATCGTTTACACAGAAACAAATCAAAGACAATTTCCTACTGACCTGTTCGTTCAAAGGGGAAAAATAACGAAGCAAACATTTGTCTTCGTCCAGTACAAAGTAATAGCGGTCCCACTGTCCATCGCTTTCTTTACGCTGAAGCGTTCCACAAAACCTTCCCTCTGAATCTCGGAGAGGCATACTGCTTGATAATGTCAAGCGCGGGAAACTCACAACACGAAACTGTACACGCTATAAACTGTCAAACGAACAACTGCAACCTGGAAACTATCCACTGTACATAGAAATACGAAGAAATCTGGATGCTAAATCTGTAGAGCGAAACCGCTCTCTTAAAAGAACTGAAATAACTCAAAATGCTAGCTGCACCTCTTTGTAAGTAAATAAAAATTCACCGAATGGGATCTTCGGCAATCTTCGGTAACTTTCGTCGACAAGACGTCAGAGTGAGACCAGTCGATAGTGTCTCGCTATAGACCGATCTTTAACATAATCGGACAATCGCAACATGGCAGATCGGCCGGCCTGGCTCAGAAAGAAAATTGGGGGAATTTTGCTCGATATTTCTGGCGTCCTTTATAATGCTAATGAGGGAGGTGGTGAAGCTATTCCTGGATCTGCTGAAGCAGTTAAGAAGTAGGTTGGAAGATCGTAACTGAGTGGCATTCTAACTGAAAGTTTTTACTTGAAATGTTTTTTCCTGCATCTTATAAGAGTTTATTTATAATACAAATTTGACCAACGATTTTGAGAATTAAAAAAAAAGAAAAGAAAAACAGACTGTTTATTTCTCCTTTTATTCATATGGTGAATTTTGTAAGGTGATTTTTTGTTTTTTAATTCGTTTAGTTTTTCTTTGTCCCGAGGAGGTACTGGGGATGGGTTCTCTAGCGAGAGAATTCAGAGTCACCAGTGCGTGACAGAAAAACAAAGCAAAATTTGCAGTTTGTGACTAAATTATTAGAATAAGGAGTGGTACACAACATGCCCAAATTTTCTCTAAAGGGGGTTGGGGGGGGGAAGAGTAGAAGCCTAAGAAAAAGAGGTTGAAAGGGTACAGAAGGAGGAAGGCTGATAGGCAGCCGAACAGTAGAATGAGAACATACATAAACCTCTGACCCCTTAGAGTGACGAGCGTTTAATTTCTCCTTACAATATCATCACCCTGAATCACGTATCAGGGTCATGAGAATAAATGAAATGATCACCAACTGAAGAAGTTTTTGAGTCCAAACAAATTCTCCTTGTCAGCACTTGAGGAAATGTATGAAAAACAGTATCAAGAATATGCATACTGATGTTAGGGCATAAATTAAATTAATCATAAGCATTGTTTGGCAACAAAGGATAGAAGATGGGAATCAAATGTGCAAGAGGTCGGCAAGCAGGGTATAGCAAGTGAGACACTTCACTAACACCCCTCCCCCACCCATTCATGGGTGTGTGTTAATTAAATAATAGGGTTTTATTGACTGAGCAAATGGTGAAAGGCTGAAGATTGAAATGTCAGCTTTGAAACTCTTTACAGTGGCCAATTTACATTATCAACTCAATTGTTAAAACTTAATTATCTTCAGTTGTTATACTCTCCCACCAATGTAGCACCACAGTTTTTTTTGTTTTTAGAAACTAACCTTCTTTATTGAATGTAAATGAGACAACCTGAGCTTATAATGAGTCTGATATATACCCCTAGCCTGTGAAGATTTCAATTCAAACACTTTTGAAATTAACAGGCCACACAGTGAAATTGAGCAATCACAGTGCATGTACCAACTGAGAGATGTGATAAACAGTGGCATCGTTTCTGACATTGTTTTTTTAGCTCTCTCATATAAGTCATTTTACTAGTCATATGTTTTCCCCCTGAACAAGGTACAGTGATATATTGTAGTAGTACAAAATTGATTGAAAGACTTAGCTGCTTAATATTTAATTCACTGAGTTAAATTTTCATAGAAGTTCTGAGACTTATTTTAAGTTCAAACAGTGACTGAGTTCATCATGTTTTTTTCTGTTACTTTTTACTGAAGGCTGAAAGCAGCTGGTTACAAGGTGCAGTTTTGCACAAATGAGGATACTTGCACAAGAGAGCAGCTTGTCCTCAAACTTGGACAATTTGGATTCAACCTGTCAGCCAATGAATTACTTGCACCATCTCCTGTTGCAAGAAAGATTCTTCAGGATCGTAAACTACGCCCGTTACTTCTGATTCATCCCAAAGGACTCGCAGAATATGAGGGAGTGGATTGCACCAATCCCACCTGTGTTGTTGTTGGCGGAGCTGAAGATCAATTTACCTATGCACGCATGAATGAGGCCTTTAGACTACTTTTAACTTCAGATAATCCAGTTCTTTTTGCTTTAGGACATGGGTGAGTTATTGTAGAATCCCTACCAAAGGAAGGAGGACTGGCAAAGAACATTTGCTACTCAGGGATTTGTAAAATCAGGGATTCTTCCAAAATTCTTCCATCACTGTAGTCAAAGCACTTGATACCTCTGTAAACTGTTGCCTACATTTACAGACTTAGGTAAGCTGACAGAAGTCTCACTCATGTGGAACTTGGTCTGGTTGACTCTTATTAGTTTTTCCCTGGTCTCAGCCTGGTTTGTTTCTCAGTCTAAAAATCCCTAACATCTCTCTTCATTTGGTTTCATGAGAAGTCAAGTGAACAAATACCCTCTTCTCTGTCTATAACAAGATCAAAACTGAGACTTGCAAGCCAATGTAAAGTGCTAGACATAACTCAGTTGCACCTCAGACTTTACCCTACAGTCTAAAATTATACAAGACAATGCTGTTGAAATTTCTGATGTTTTTTAATGTTGTTTTTCAGTCGCTATTACAGAAGTGGTGCAAATCTAGTCCTTGATGCAGGTCCATATGTAAAGGCCTTAGAGGTTAGTTGTTAGTCCTCTTGCTGTTTTTTTTTTTTTTTTCTGTCAATGAGTTGATTGTTTGAAAATGGCTATTTTTCCATACCCCTTAAGAGTTGTTTTGTTATTTTAATGATAATTTCTGTCTTCCAGTTTGCTTGTGATGTAAAAGCTGAGGTTATTGGTAAACCTTCAGCTACTTTTTTCCTAACTGCTTTGGACAAAATTCAAGTATTACCTGAAGATGTAAGTGTTAGTTAAATTCTTATTTGAGAAAACTTTTCACCCCCTGATAACATAATTTTTGTAGTTTTTTCTGATTATCCTCTTTTTTCTTTTTTTTTAAATTTTTAGGCAGTTATGATTGGAGATGACATTGTATCAGATGTGGGTGGGGCCCAGGCATGTGGGATCAGAGGAGTACAAGTTAGGACTGGAAAATACAGGTATCATGAAGCATTCTTTTATTTTGTACGTGAGGCATACATTTTTTGAAGGACAAGTATGCCCCATAAACCATGTTATTTATCTCCATCATGAAAAATTGTTCATGAAATTATGACACTGTTCCCACTTTGAAGTTCCAAGGAGTCACCCAATATGTAGAAAATATTCCTCAAATATGTCAAACTTCAAACTTTGGATATCCAAAATTTTGTGTTGTTCAAAGGATATTATGATTTCAACAAAATAAGTTCTGCTGTAAGGAAACAAATTGAAAGATTATGTGGGTGAACTGGTAAGGTGCAGACAAACTTGTTTTACTGCAGGGGGCATACTTGCAAAGGTGATTGGGGGCAAACTTAAAATGAGGGGAAACCTTTAGCTACCAATGTAAGCTGTTACAATGAAGGCCTCAAAGCTCTAATGGGGAAGCAAGCATGCAAATCGTGAATTTTTGCTTCTGATACCTTAAATTCTCACTTTGGATAAAATGCTTTTCATGTCGTAGACCTGGAGATGAAAACCACCCTGCTGTAAAACCTGATGGATATGTGGACAATCTGGCACAAGCTGTGGAGCTCATCCTCAAATACAATTGAGCAGAATATTACACTGAATGAATGAATTGGTGTGTAATGACAAAGGATAGTCTAGTTTCATCAAAAGAGAATGTTGATATAGGAAAAGAGAGAAAAGAGTTCAAATCAGTCAGGATTGGCTTTGTACATCAATATGTTCACCATCTCATTGGTTTGGTAACAAATCAGGGTGCCTAGATGTCATGTGAAAATGATCTATTGGGCAACAGTAATGGGTTTTCAACTAATGCTTGAAAAAGAAAATAACTTTAAAAAAATATAGGATATTTACATTAAAAATATTAAGTAGAGTAACTATGTAATGTTAGAAAAGATGAAACATTTATTTCTCTCTAAAATTATGTTACAGCACTTGACAAGAAGAACATAATTTTGTTTGGTATAAGTAATAAAAGGTTTGCAAAGTTAGTTGTTCTCTCTCTCTACTACCTTAGAGCATATTTCAGGCCAAAAGGAGATTTAAATCACGACCAGTTTTTTCTATTGAAATATTAGATGTAGTTAAATGCAATTTAACGGAGTTAACAACAAAGAGCATTAGCATTCTCTAGTAGTCAGTGGTTTTTTGCATATATGCATGCATGAGAGTTCCATGTGCTCTTCATTTGAGGCATTCTTGCATGTGCTTTGAGTGTGAACTTGCAGCATTGTGAGGAGTGCCAGCTCATCATCCAGGCAGTTTTCCCCACCCCTTCCCTCCCTCTTTCCACTGTTTATTCAGTGTGATGGGTGCCTGTCTCCCTTTCCTGTGTGGGGACTCATGGCTGGGTTGCCAGGATTTGCCAGCCATGGGAGAAGTCTCCATATAGGAGCTGGCTACCAACAGTGGAAGCTCCTGGATGTTTCAGGCACCCAACCTCCACTTAGTGATGCAGTTGTTAAACAAAGGAATTCAAGTTCTAACCAAATGAGGTTTCCCTTGTTTTCCAGTTCTTCAGCACAATCAATTTATGACAGAGTAATGTGTACATTGCTTTTCCTCTAAGAACTAAAGACATGGTCACTTACTCTAAATCTGATGTAAATTGGACTAAGAGAAAACAGATCTTGAATTTCTGCTGATGTTTTTTTCTTTTTTTTTTTTTTTTTGGCTACTTAAAAAGGAGTGAAACAAGAAATCCGTCTACCTACTACTTGGTAATTTGTTTTGGTACTGCCAGATTGTAAGCAATTACTAAATGAACTTTATTTTATAGCTGCTATTTATCTATTAAAATTCTTATTTATTATTAATAGTGTCATTGTGGTTGTCCATATTTGTTATTCAGACTGCGGGAGATGTAATTCCAGTACTCTCTCCTGATGTAGTCAGCATCTGTGGCAAGTTTATTGCACAACTTAAAAAACAAAGAATTAAGCCATAATAAGAAAATGGAAATGACTTGTGGAGACACAGTGGCACAATGGTCAGTGATAACCAAGGCATTTTTATAGTACAAAAATTGACTGGCCAAAATGGAGGTGCAGCTTGTAGATTGGTGTTAAGGGTAACTTTTAGGTTAAGAAAAGTGGTACATAAGAGAACTCTGTCAAAGGGTTTAAATAAGTTAACCCTTTGATCCCTAAGACTTACTGCATCCAATTTCTCCTTACAATTTCACCCTTGAATTGACCATGAAGGTCTCGAGAGTAAAGGAAATGATCACCAACTAAAGAAACTCTTGATTGTGAAAGAAATTCTCCTTTACAGCAGCTCTGGAAACATTTAGAGAACAGTATGGAGAATACACATACTGATGTTAGGGTGTAAAGAGTTAAAATGAAGAGTACAATCAGGCATCCAACATACCTCCAAAGCCTGTTCCAAACAGTTTGGGTCACTGACTCCACCCTCGAGCTCTTCTTCAGAGATATCAATCAATGTAGCCATTAAATAGAGAGAGTCAATTCCATTACTGTACATTTCCACCAAAGTGTCCTTCAGGCCAGGGTATTTACTAAGACCAGTAGGGGCCAGAACTCTAAAGGACAAAAAAATCAATCGCCAACTTTATTTTAAGGAAAGGTTATTTTGTTTATTTTCTATTTTTTGGATAATTTGGTTTTATGAACTGAGTTGATAAATAAATGTAAATTGGCCACAGTAAATAGTTTTCTTTTCAAGTGTTAGCCCTTCGTCAGAGGACAAGAAGAATTGTGGGTTGTGTGATTTACATGCAGAAAGATGGAGCTATGCTATTGGTGGGAACATGGTGACCTGAAAAGTTTTAATTTGTAACCTATTGAGTTCTCTTTAACTTTTTTGAAGGCTTGTGACATCTAAATTACCAGTAAATAAACCTGTATTTTTTGGTTGTTCTTATGGTTGTGGAGATACTGGGTTGTATAAAGGGAAAGCAAATGCACTATGTGGTTTGGCTTGAACTGCCTGGGTTACAGCTGAGAAACACCTTGTCATGTCTGTGTCTTGTTCTAATCCCTTCTTGCACAAACTTTTAGCTTAATATTTCATATGAGGATACTTCTACCTCTATATTAAGGACACATAAGGCTGCTAGCAGTATATATACAACATCATACAAACTTACAGTCAACATACATAATAACAACAATGGACGGATTTCAGTCTACAGTGCCACATCCATAAGCTCATGAAAGTTTACCACACTTTGTGGGGGATTTTTATTGGCCAGACTAAATTGAGCAGTTAATTTTTTTGAAAGGAAAACTTGCGGTAGCCCCCAAATTTGGAAACAAAGCAAGACCAAAACACCAGGAGCTACCTTTCTTACTCTTAGGGAGAGGTGTGTGGGTTCTTTAACATTCCCTGTGAACCAATACAGAGAAAATGCAGGAGATGGGGCCTGGGGTGTATCATCCTTGTCCAGGAAGACAACAATGTCTAACCATTTGTGAATTTCATAGCAAAAGCAGCACATTCTCCCCAATTATTTGAAGCTTTAACCATTCACATCATCACACCACAGCCTGGTACTCTACAACATAACCTAACCAGGTGGCAATATGTGTGCTGTGCATGCACATATTATTATACTATAGATCAAGCTATGTACTTTGCAACTGATATGTTTACTTTCCTGAGTTTTCCATGGCTAGTGAACAAAGCAAGGGCTTTCCCTTCGCTGACATATACCTTCTCCATCATTAAATCCCCATGAAGAGATCAGGAAATTCATGTGAAACTTCCTCACTTAACAACTGCATGAACTTCAAATTAATATTTCATCATTTCTTAGATATGTTAAAGACTCTTAAGAAATCTCAATGCTTACCCTTTCAAATAATTCCAAGCGCTTTCATTATTTGGCACTTTCTGAATAAGATTCATTGTGAGTCTACAAAAGAACAAATTTAGAGGATAATGAGCTCACTTTTCAGTTTAGAGAGGACTGCACTACACATGAAAGTGTTCAAAGTCATTCCTTCCTAAAATAATTGTCCTTGTGTGAATTTCATTTTTCAAAACAAAGAAGGGCCCTCTATGTTCTTTGAGGAGCACCTTTCAAAGGATTATTTTGCACTCTGCATTGAGAATTTGTTTGAATTTATTTAATGGACTAAATCAAAGAAAACAGGAAGTCAGCATGCCATCTTACAAGAAAATTCTTCCATCTAGGAAAGCCATCATCTTCTAATATTTACCATATGATTGAATAACAAGTGAAACAATGTGTAATAGGGATGTAAATTGTATTTATAAGGAATGGCCTTGAGCAGAAATAAAATGACCTCATCTACACCCATGTAACAGCTTAGTGTTTTGCTATTGAAAGGATGCCAAAATTAAAAAAAATAAACTGCTAGAAGAAAATAAGTGCATATGCCAGCATCCTAATGAAAACATTCTTCAATCTTAATACTTGACTGTGTAGGTGTGCCATCCAAATTCAAGACACTCATAGTAATCCACAAGTTGAGATACAGATGTGGCTACCTAAAAGTTCCTGCTTATTTGGTTAGCTAACTCCAAAAAATGATGGGACCTACCATTTTCAGAATTTGGTGGTGTTTCCCTTAACTAAATTCTCTTAGAGAAATTGGTATAACTATTACATACTCACTCCACTTCTCTATCTACAATATCTTTGGTGAAGCCTGTCGTTTTGGAGACTACAAAATATCTTTGATTCCAGGCAGAGTTATTGCGGAGATCTTCAGTTAAAAGTTTGTCAACATAATCAAGCTCTTTCTCCCATAAACCAAACTCTTTGATGACCCACTGTCGATGTTGCCAAGCATGATAGTTTTTAGCATCCAGTTGTAGAATATCCTCAGTAAACTTCAGTTCATTGCTGGGATCTTTCAGCCATTCAATAAGGACTTTTCTGTGATACCTGACAAAACAAGAATAAAACTTAATTACTGGTAAATTGATTCATTTTAAATACTATTCGTCTTATTTTCTTCCTTTTAACCCTGTACACCCTAACATCAGTTTGCATATTCTTCATACTGTTCCATATACATCTCCTAAGGTGCTGTTAAGGAGAATATGCTTAAAATTCAAGAGCTCTTTTAGTTGGTGATCATTTCCTTTATTCTCATGACCTTAATGTGTGTTTCAGGGGTGATATTGTAAGGAGAAATTAGATGCTGGTCACTCTCAGGGGTCAAAGGATTAAAGGAAGGTAGAACACATAAATCAGAACTGTTGATGAGATGTCGTGCTCATTCAAAAAACTGGTGCCTATCGAGACATTTCCAAAATAGCTTCAAAATGCATATAAAACTATCCCATATCTGACAACAACTGAAAACATTGCACTAGACAGTATAAAAAATATATTTTTAAAAAAGTTGAAAATAACTGATGTTTTGGTTAATATTTCAGCCTTAAATTAAAGGAAAAGAAATGTGTTTTCTATAAAAAGAGTTGAATACCAAATTTTGGCTGATAATAAAAAGGATTTCTGTGCCCTTATTGCTAACAAAACTACTGTTGTAGCAAGGAAAAACTAGGCACTAATCTATACTTACCAAACTTGGTAATTTTTTGGTTGTTCTTTGATGACATCAGTTATAAACTGTAATTCTTGCTGTAAGTCTTTTTTCAGAGATTTCAGCAGCACTCTCCGGAAATGCCTTTCAAAGAGTAAATCAGTCACAATGATTGTGATTTTATTTTCTTCATTACTTACTTTAACCACTCTGTTCTTTAACCCTTTAACTTCCAAGAGTAACTAAGACAAAATTTCTCCTTAAAATATCAACACAGAATCAAGCAGACTATTGAGGGGAGTAAAGAGAAAACTCAATTAGGGGACTGCAAGTTGATCCAATACCAAATTCTCCAAATTGTAATCACAAGTATTTCATGGTAGACAGTGGGGAGAATTACTTATAAGATCTTGGTAGTTAAAGGGTTAAATCAATCTTTGGTACCAAGTCTGATCTGTTTCAGAAAAATGTCTGTTTGGCAAAAATATTTCATCATTTTTCCCACCAAAATGGATTTAATTACAGCAGAGGCTCTTTCACCTAGCACAGCTTCTGTGTCCAATTTTATTAAATTACCTCACAACCTTCCATAGTTCTTTGCAATAGATTTACAATATATTTCCCCCAAGTAAACAGTGAACTGAGATCTCAGCGTGGCAACCAAGATAGGTACAATGGACATGCATACAAAATTTTTTGTTCCACTTAGGCTATGAAATCACAGAGGGGGAGGAGGGGGACAGACATGTATTAAAAGCTCCTCAGGTGGTGAACTCCCTGTTTCAAAGCAGTCAATCTCTAAACCCATAGGCACAGAGCTGAAAAACAACTGCACAGGTCACCAACTTTCATGTGCCTCTTGCAAGAAACCATGGCAACAGTACTGTAAACTAACGGAAATTGGAAACATTTAGATGTGCAGTTTTCTGCCCAGGTTAGGAATTGAGAAAAAAGGCTGATCCATTTTCAACTGGAGCACCAAATATCTCTTTGATACCACAGTTACATTCTTTTAATAATTTTAATGCAATCATGTATTTTCTTTAGAACTTTCTCAAAATTTATCTTGAAAATGCATTCTGGGTGCTCCTCAACCATTGTTGACTGCTTAGCACTTTCAATCCCTAAATCTCAAAAGCAATTCTCCCGACTGTTTGCTATATGTTTCCTCTAATGTCAGTTATAGGAATTTGGTGTTAGATCAAATTATTACCCCAGCTGATATTTTACTTTATTCTCATGAAATGTGTGCTTGACCTTGGAGTAAAAGGGTAAAGCATGTCTAAAAATTCTTGATGTGGATAGAGGATAACAGTAGTTTTAACTTGTAAAGATAATGACCTTGTTGTTTGAAGGGCAACAAATGCTTTATAATGAATAAATCATTGTGTCACATGTTTTGTAACACTAATTCATTGAATAGCAATTTATTCAATAGGAAGTGTTAGCTTCCTTTTGAAAAACTGGGCCAATGTCTTGATGAGGTTGTTAAATTGTGAGGATCGACAAAAAGAAAAAAGTGAGCGGGCATATTTATTTACTAACCAGACTGTGTAATTCGCTGGATTAAGGCTGATAGCGTCTTCCGTGAGCTCAAGAGCACGTTCACTTCTCTCGTCAGCCAACAGAACTGCCCTGAAGTAGTCAAAGACATCCTTGACTGCAAAAATGCAAATACTCGCGTCAAGATGTATACATGTGTAAGTTGTACAAAAACTTATCGTTTAAACTGAATTGCTACAACGTGACAAATTGGAATAACTTTATGCACGCCATGATTAATTAACACTGCTTATGTCACTATTTTCTTAATCATTGCTACCGCTTCTTTAACAATTTTTATTTCATGAGGGATAAAGACATCAAGAGAAGTTAAGATAAGATACGAGCTTTAGATTCCAATTCCACAAAACAAATTTAACTAGGTCTCGAGAGCGTGTGAACTATTCAACCAGTACATACACTTATCAGAATACGCAATTCTCACAACTGGATAAGGTCCATCATCCTGTTCAACAGGAGTGATATCTTTCCATTCTTCACGATCGTGATAAAACACGAAATTTTCCTCCAGTCCGTCTTCATCGCCCGAACTTTCCGCCATCTTGCCTCACTTCGGCTGAATAACGATAGATGTCTGAAGAGGTCTGGGTTCTAGGCGAAGCCGCTGTGACAGCGTTCTGTCTGGGTACTCAGATTCCAGCGACTGAGGTTTACGTATTTTGACTTGAAAACCCATAGAGAGACATGATTTAGAATCTCTTGTCGAATCTTCCAATACTACAGCTGAGGCCCCTTTTTTTTCAGACGAAAGATGATCTCTGCCAAACCTGTTTACGAGAATGTGTTGCACAGGAAGACTCTCATCCCCCGATTTCAGTATCAATTTCAATGTGAGTTGAGTATCGCTTGCTCCAGTAAATGATCTGTTAAATCTGCAACTCTGGAGCTAAAATCTATACAGGAGTCGTTGTGGAGCTGTCTTAAAGTGTCTCGAAGTTTGCATAATTGACTACTCATGCTCAGTGTATCTGAGTCCTATTATTAAGTTGAGAGCACACGAGAAGACTTCATTAAGAGTCAAGTGTTGTCTAATGATCAGTGTAACTGGAAGCTAGCTCTCCGATGAAAATTGCCATGATCTCTTGTTCGAATGCTATCTATATACTAGCTAACTTGAGAGTCAAGGTACTTTAGTATTATCAAATGAGTTGATAACGTAAATTGGCCACCGTTGAGAGTTTCAAAGCTGACGTTTCGAGCAGTAGCCCTTTGTCACAGCAAGAGTCACCCGGGTACCTTAAAGTTCTGTCTCTCATAAAAGTAACGGCATGGTTAATCTGCGGCAGTGGATCTCTAAACTACGAGGATTCGATATTGAAGTTCAAGACTCCTTTTCGAATTACTTCCTAAGATATTTTCTAAGTAATGACAAGAGAGCCCTTACCGAAACGTGACTTATGTTAAGAGTCCTTTGAATCAGTTTCTAATACAGCCATAGTTTCTGGGACTCGTAGAGGAGATGTCGCTTTCTTCATGGTTATTTGGTTAAAGACCGACCTGGAGTCGTTTACATGGCCCATGTGAGCGTCTGGTAGTTCAAAGTGTAGAGAAAAAAGAGTTTTGCTATTTACGTGACTCAGTATTTGTACAGGAGGCAGCTTTAACCATTTTAGGAAGAAACGATTGGAAAACAGAGACGATAGCAAATGACAAGAGATTTATAATCTCTGTCAAATGACGAACTGGGTGAGTACACAAAATTTTTTGAATAATTCAATTTTGGAGTCCTTTTCTTGGGTTCGAGATGAAATGATCGCTTACTTATTACATCAAGATGTTAGGATATTTTACAACATACCGATTTGCAGTCAAAGCTCGATCGTGGTTGTTGTGCATGTATAAGATTCTGTGACCCAGAATTCAGCTTCAAAAAACACGTCTAGCTGTATTTGTTTGTTTCTTTGTTTTTCGAATTTGTTTTTAACTTTTTATTTTACCATAGGTTTGAATTGCCAGATGGTGGCTTTAAAGTAAAGTCGCATGGTGAACATATGGTAAACCTTTTCCTCTTCCACCAATATTTCATCTCATTTCCTCATGTATGATCTTTCATGGATATGCGATTGAATTCTCGTTTTAGTAACTTTTCCTTTCTTATCGTTTTTCTTATTCGACAATTTGAATAGCTACGCGATTACATCAGCAGCGTTAAGCAGGTACAGTGAAAATCTGCCTTTCAGTAGAACAATACCTCTTGTTTACACTGACGACAGAGGTGTCCAAATTATGCATACAGATGCGTAGAGATGCATAAATTACGAGGACAGTGAAGTGAGCGTCGTTCGAACCCTGGGTAGCCATGTCGATTCTTTGTTTTACAGGATGTTTTGTTTCCCGGCAAATACTCGATCTATGATAACAAGATAACACTAGATGTGATATTTGATTGAAGAACTTAAGTTCTAGTTTAAGATGACTCAAATTGGAGATTCTCAGCGGAAAGAGCAAGTGAAGGAATTTCAGCGAAATGCACATCGTTTACTATCCGATGATGATCGTCATTATTTACATTATACGCTCAAAGAATACCAGACTTACAAGTCGGTGGAAAAGTTGGTGCTTGCACTCAAATCATGCTTGGATAATCCTCGCAAGAAGGACCTACTTGTGGATATTCGAAACCTCATTCCACCCGCACATTTGAGCAAGTTTGATAGTTTAGCTCCGTACAGCGAAATGGCGCATCCTTTCGAACCACCTAATCACGCAGCTCAGCATCGGAAGACGCAGAGTTTGCCCCACAGTTACAAAAACAGCGAGTTGCGAGCTCTTGGAAGGAGTTCCTCGCCGAATAATAGCGGTTCTTTTAAAGTGATAACCTTGACAAGAACTTCTCCCGAAGATTCATTGGGTTTCAAAATAAAAGGAGGCCGGGATTCTGACAGTGTGCTCTATATCTTTGAGGTAGACGATGATTCCTCTGCTGCTAAACAGGGTCTCAAAAAAGGAGATCAGTTAATTGAGGTCAACGGAATAGATTTTGAGAAGATAACCAAAAGTTCCGCTGAGAACCTTCTCAGTACGATGAATAAAATGAAATTGGTCGTCAAGTCGGTTGGTCTTGCAGCAGGACTTGATTTATCTGATTCCTGGTAGGTATCCAACTATCAAAACTAGATAATGTAATTGAGTCATTTATGTTATCTCAGTTCTTAAGTTTTATGTTTACCCCACTCAAAGACTTGTACTACGCCTTGCAGAAGTACATATGCGCTAAAACAATTGTTACTACGGCAGAAATAACAAGTTACACGCGTATGACTTTTTTGTTTATCCATTCGTGACGTCCACTTAGATTTCGCTAATACACGTTACTGCAGGTACATTTTTTTGTGCCAAAAAATACATAGATTTAGTCGTGGTTTGCGGTGCTTTTGATATTGCTATGCAGCATGATTATCGCCAATATTGCGACAAATTTTAGGTACTGTTTACTTTTGAATATTGTAGCTGTTATGTCAAACTTCGAAGCTGGAATCATGTACCTTTTTTCCAATGCTTTGATTCATGGTCATTCCAATTAATGGAAATCGCATTAAAATTACAGTTGCATTTTAGTATCTGTTGGTGGTATACCCCTTACTAAAGAATACCTTGCTCAGACAGTAATATTTTCAGAGATGGCCGTCTTCCAGTTGAAATGATTGCTTTTCGTGAAAGTTCAGCTAAATACTCACGTTTTGACCTGACGCCACATTTTTGACCTTCAGAATAAACACATGTAACACTGAATAATTTAACTTGCTTTATTGGAATTCTGTTAAGATTTTAATCTGCCACCAAAGTTAACTTAGAGATTAGTTTATTTCTAATAAACATTGCCGTCATTGTCGCGGCACTGTTGAACAGCACGTCAGCATGTTGCGTGCCATTTTTGCACTTCATTGCTTTTTGGATTAAACGTTTAGTAAAATCATCGATGCTTTTCAAGTGCTTAGTGTATCCGCTTTAGCCCACTGTAGCCAATATCAATGTCTATCACGTTGATTTACCGTTACCGTGTGTAGGAAAGCTAACTCGAGGAAAGATCCGCTGAACAATGTAGCATATTATTGTTGGATTTGCCCTTTACCGTTCCACTTGCATGAATTTTAAGGGTGACGGCTTAAAACGGCGGCGGAAACTATTACAATAAATGAGATTGATGAAATTTGTCGAGTGATCACTTAGTAAGTATTGACATTGGGTAGTATGAATATAATTGTATGTTTTGACTCCTCGATCATCAATAACTTTTGTTCCGAAACAGCCATTTGTGAGAGTCTGTATCATGCCTCAACAAGTTCCTATTATAGCTACTTAAAGTAATAAAATCATTGGGATGTCTCTGAACCTTTCACCTGTATCTTTAAAATTAGATATTGCTAATTAGTTTTGAGTTTAAAACTGGGAGAAACTTTCAACAAAAGGAAAATCTTTGTCTGCTGGGAGACAGAGTACATAAAATGTAATTTTGATTAAGTTGTTGATGTATTAACTGTTAATTTGTAGGGTGACCAACTATTGTTAAATTTATGTATATCCAGTCATGTCTCAATATGACATGAGATCTAAAATATTTTAGTACAGGGTTAACTTTCTGAAAAAACTTAAACTAGATGATGTTAGCAAAACTTGTACGTCAACAATGTGACTCAATTTTTAGAATCACACCATACTTTACAAAACTTACACATTCATATCCCAAAAGGGCTATGGGTGATGATTTTGTTTTGTTGTTTTCTTTTGTGCTCCCACAATATGTTAAACTATGTGGGAAGAATTTAGAATTACAAAAAGCAAAGCATTTTATCTTTTGAATACTTTTGTGACCTTGATTCAGGTTATTTATTGAAGTGGAAAGGTTATTTAAAGAGGTTAAGACAGAAGACTTTTTCCACTCTAAGAGAACATTAAACTTTGATGATTAACACTTAAACTGATTTGTTGTATTTTGATTTTTCATTTTAGGGGTCACAGGAATGGTAAAGTTATTCAAAATGGAATAAATGAGAATGATAGTTTGCAGGTAAATGTCTTTTAAAAACCTGTCATATTGTACAACCACTTGTTGCAGCAATCAAAGGTACATTTTTGTCCTTTGAAAGGTGCAGAGTTACTTCTCTTTTTCCCTCCATTGCAATTATATATTTATGGTACCTCTGTAATCAAATTCTCCCTGTTCATGTGGTAGTCATTGGATTAAGATTAAATATCCTAGCCTTCTGTTTGAGTTGACAATTATTTCTTCTGAGAGAAATTTTGGATTAGTTTAATTAAAAGCTTAATTTTTCAAGTCTATATTTATATATTATTGGAATTAGAGTTATCCTGTTTTGTATTTGTACTTTGCAAATTCTGGATTCATTTTGTGTCTAGCACTTAATATTTCTTGGTTTTCTCAAAGGAGTTTGTCCTCTTTAATTGCTAAATAGATTTATTAGGTGTAGCATGAATAATTGGCAGCTTTAGCAAGCTAGAAAATTTTAAAGTATCAGTGGTCTTTGTTTCTTTCCTTGTAATGTTCTACTGCTTGCTCAGATCCATGTGAGAGAAAAAGATTACAGGGTATTTCCCAGCACAAATTGTAGCTATCTTGATCTTTTCACCTCAGGGGGTGACCAAAAAAGAATTTCTCCTCACTGCATAAATCCATTTCCAAGCAGCAAGGTGATGAGAACACAGAAAAATACCACTTATGGGATATTAATTGATGCAACACTAAAATTTGAGAGCAGAAATTAAGAGACATGTATGGCAAACAGTGTAGAGACTTGGTATTTAGATCCTGAGAGTATAAGGGTTACTTGCCAATTCAAAATATTAACCTCCCAAACAATTTTCAAGTAGTTGTCTGATTTAATGATTATCTAGCCAAATTAAATGTTTTTTTATTGCAATATGGTTTGATACAACATTTGTACACCCCAATATCTCATTAGTAATTCTCCTTACTGTCGGCCATACAATTCTCATGATGTTGCTTTGGATAATTTGGTATTGGATCAACTGATAATCCCATAAAAAAATTGATTTTTTACCTTTCTCTCATCACTTTTCCCTTTGATATTGTATTGATATTGTAAGGAGAAATTCTGTCTTGGTCAGGCATGGGTTAGTGAAGGGTTAACCTTGTATTTTGTGATCAGGCCAGCAGTGGAAGTGGCAGTAGTAGCATAGCTCTTCAACATAATTCCCATTTGCTGGACAAAGCTGATGAGAGGAAAGTTAACCTTCAAGTAGAGTCAACAACCAATGGTTTTATAGGATTTAACATTCGTGGTGGAAGTGAATATGGCTTGGGTCTTTTTGTATCCGGGTAAGAACAATATACATGAATTTTTTTTTTAACAGAAATTTTCTTAGTTTGTTGGACAGGCACTTTCCATTCAAACAAAGTTTTGTAATTTCTGGTCCAAAATTGAGTCATGTAGTAAAAATTTGGTAGAGGTTTAAGGCAACATTCTGAATTTGTCTTTGTACATTCTAAAAATGTTTCATTGTTTCATCTGTGATTTTCTTTGGATTTTGCCTCTTGGCCAGGCTGATTGAAGAACAAAATTGCTCTGATTGTTATATAATCCCATGTCTTATGGCTTTCAGTAAAATTTAGACACAATCTTTCAAGCACTTATCCATGGAGTGATAATGATAAATTTTTGTATCAAAGTTTTTATCTGGTTAGTGAGTACCCAAACATTCAAGTGGAGTGGATTTTTTAGCCTTTTGACTGAATTTGTGACAAAATGATTGAGTTGCATTTTGTTCTGATTGGTTACTATGAATTAAATTTGGTTTTTCTTTAACAACACATAGTCAAACAGCGTTCCATTTCTCCATCAGACGTCTTTTTCCTTTTAATCCTGTCACCTTTTTTTGTGGGGTTTAGAAATCTTGAGATGCCATGCTTAGAACAAACTGTGACCTAATAACCCTTTAACTCCCAAGATTTGATTGTTAATTCTCTCCTCTAGCTGCTACATGTTTCCTTGTAAAATATTTGTGAGAATTTGGTGTTAAATCAAGATAACAACTTATGCCTGATAAGTTTGAGTATTCTCATTACCTGTTTGCTGGATGATGTATGAATGTCATAGTGAGAAGTTACATGCTAATCACTTCTAGCATTTCAAAGGTTAACAGATCATTTATTCTTTGTTTAGCATTGATCGTGGTTCACTGGCAGAGCAAGCTGGCTTCAAAGTTGGTGATCAGATCATGGAAGTGAATGGAAAGAGCTTTGAAAACCTCAAGCACAAAGAGGCAGTTGATTTTATTAAATCACAAAAACACATAATGGTTACACTAAAGGTAATATTTACTTCCATTTCCTTAACTTTTAAGCTGTCAGTCCACTTATACAATAGAGATTCTCTGATCATGGTTGTAATTAAGGCTTTTCATTGAATGATAGGATTTTATATGTTCATATACTTCATCATCCACATTAGCTCTACGCCTTTTTACCTTATTTGTTATCAATAACTTTTGCAGCATGCCTGGCATAATTTGAGAGTGAAGTGGTTAACCTTTTAAACCCCAAGAGTGACCAGAATCTAGTTTCTCCTTACAATAACACTACTGGATCATTCATTTAAGATCATGAGAGTAAAGGAAATGATCACCAACTAAAGAAGCTCTTGATTGTTAAACAAATTCTCCTAATCAGCTCCTTAGGAAATGTTTAGATATCAATATGGAGAATATCAATACTGATGTTAGGGTGTAAAGGGTTAAAAGTTTTTTTTTGTTGTGGATCACATGGATCAATGTTAGTATCTGAGAAACTGTGCACCTACCCCTCTCTCAATCCAACAACAGTCAATTGATAACAAGCCAGGGTTACTGTTGGGTTAGGGAGGGGTATGTTCATAGCAGCTCAGATACTGTCATTGATCCATTCATATAAACAGTAGTTTTTCACTTGTTTACTGGACTCTCCCTCTGCTAATACAATGTTTAGTATGACAAGACCATCAAAACAGATGACCATAACCTGATTTTACAATAAACTTTCCCATATTTTGCATCATTTTTCAGGCAGTGGGAAGACTTCCTGAGGCAAAACATTACCACTCACAAATCAGCTGGGTTTATCCTGATGGAAGTGTTGTGGTTGGTAAGTAATCTACTGCAACAGAGCAGAAAGTGAAAAATTTAACTGACTTGGTTTTGACTATTTGCTTTATAAATGACTCTCACCCCTGGCAGAAAATTTTTTAGCATAATTTACAGCCTTCGCTGACCAAATTTTAACAGATGTATTTAGTGAAATCGGTAAGAACCACTACATACAAGAGGAAAATTTCATGTGAAGAATCTCATTTGGAAGTCTTTAGGATACCTACAGAAATCTTTTGGTGTCTAGAAATATGATTACCGGTAGGTCTTCTACAAAAATCTTGGCACACTTGAGAAAATAAAATCATGACTAAGAAAGGCAGGTATTTGCAAATAGAGTTCCAAGATTCCAGTATTTTTTTGTATAGAACTTGTATTAATAACCTCTTGCTTTCAATTAAAAATCATTATATTCACTCATTGTTTTTTTCCCTTAATTTTAATTTTTAATTTTTTTAGAAGGAAAAGAAACTTTTACCAGATCTATCTCAGCTCCAGCCTCTCCAGTCTCCTCTCTAGAGCTAAGTCATTCTAGTGCCCAGTTTCCTGAATTAGGAGAAATGCCAACAAGGGACACACCCAGTCCCAGACCACAGATGCGCGAAGCTAGTGTCCAGACTCCTCAACCTTCTCCGGAACCTCCTCCAGAACCTGTGCCAGAAACAAGAGAGGAAGTTGTAGTTGTTCATGTGAAACAGGATTTTGCAGATTTACAAAGAACACAGAGCTCTAAAAGTCTGGCAACATCATCAATTAATAGTGGTGATGATAGTGAAAAGCAGAACTCAATTCGATCAGCGCATTCTTATGAGAGTGTCAGCAGCAGTAGAGAGGAAATGGCTAAGAGGTATTCAGTTTCTAGCATGAGCAAGGAGGAAGCCATTTTGAGCGGCAGTGATGGTGAACTGAATGACAAAAGGAAAGTGAAGAAATCCAAGTCTTTTCTTCAGAAACATGGGGACAAAATCAAATCAAAGTTGAGCTTCAGGAAGAAAGGAAAACCAAAAGTTGAAGAAAGAGGTAAGGCAGAAAATTAGTGACCAGTGTTAATTTTCTTTTCCATCTTCTTAGTGCAATAGAACTAATAAGAAAAAAGGGCTGGATCTTACTTGTAAGTGTGGTTTCCCTTAACATGTGACCAAGGAGTTCATTTGATGTGCTCTTGACCCAACATAAAGCCAAAGGAGGAAGTTTCTAAGCTGCGTCCAGGAGCATTCAGAATTTTCAGTAGGCATTGTTAAATCTACGAAGAACCGTTCACACTAAGGTGTCATGGGGTGCTACGTACAGTTTGTTGCATCTCAACTTGTGTTTTGTTAACTTTCACAATGTGTTTGTGGAGATCGTTTCTTCTCTTGACTATTTTCCCCTTTTTTTTTGTTATTGTTGTTGTGGTTGTTGGGCAGCACATCGAGATAAAGAGAAAGTAAGACATGACACTTTGTTTCTAATTTGAAATAAAAGAGTAAGTTGAAAGATATATCTCATAACTAATTTTTGTGTGTAACATAATTTTGCTCTTAATAGAAAACATATTGTCACCAGTAGTACATTCAAATGAGTCATTCTTTTAAATTAAGCTAACATACGATTAAGATCAGCTTAATGTAAATAAGTTAACCTGTTGCAGCTATGACAATTGTGACACACTCATCAAAAGAACAAAATTATTAGTCAATATGAGCTGATACGCTCTGCAGTTAAAAATTTTATTTTCAAATGACATGTTGTAATATCCTAAATAGACTGAATTACAGTAACTTAACCCTTACCAATGAATGTGTGTTTTAAAATAAATGCAAGAGAAATCTATAATAATACTTAAATGTTATGTTGAAAGTAATTATTTGATAACGCATGAGTGAATAAGTATGCTTCATTAAGAAAAACAGATATTTCAAAAGAGGAATTAAATTAAGAATCGAAACAGGAAATACACTCATTAACATATAAAATTTAGCTTCAAGGCAAAAAGGTTTTTGTTTGTGAGTTTCAAATCATTTTTGCAATTTCTGTTAATCTTTTGCATACTCAGCAACTATTGTTTGATGTTTTACTACCTTTGCTAAATAAAATAATATTGAAAGAGCTTCTTCTAATTAGCAACAATGTTTAACGAACAAATAACAGCTGATCTCTCTCCAGTAATCCTCTGTCTAGATACTGCAAAAAGTAACAGTTGCAGACACAAACTTGTTAACAACTCTAACTTGATGACCTAGGATTTTTCTTTTTAATGTCTTGCTCGTGTCTGCTTTTGTTTTATGTTTCTTGTTGCTTTTTCATGTTTAGTTTGTTGTGAGATGCAACTCCCTGTGCATGCAACCCCCATTTTTGAGAAGGGTTTTGGTACTCAATTAATGTTAGGTGGCTCCACAAGACAACAGATGTTACTGTACATTGAAGAGAAGGCCAAAAAGATTCTGGTAGTGGACGAATACAATGCCGTTATCAGGCACATCAAACAGGTATGTTGTCCGCGCTATATCTGTTGGCTTTATTCTTACTGTTTCAAGAATTACCATCCTTAAACTTCTCCTCATAAAATGAGAAGAGAATCTTAAATTAAAGAGCTGAAAATGAAGGATTTAGTCACTTATTCACATAAAAGAGATTTCCCTGATCGTAGACAAATTATCGTAACTGATGTCACAGAAAAACATTTGGAAACCAATGAGGATAATTTATTTGTTGAACATAGGGTTTAAGATATCACAGAAATTCACCACTTTGACATAGTGAGACTTTCGAGATTTTTCATTCCAACAATAAATTTATCCTTACTTCGCAATAGATTGTTCTGAATTAAGGAAATCTGCAAAGTTTCATGAGAATCTAAAGCAAAATACCGAAAATCTTGTACTCCACCTTACCAATATTCACAAAAAAATATCAATTTTGCGTACAAATGTGGATGAAGGGGTGAAGGAGGAGGTTTTCATTCCTTTTTCTATTCTTGCAAACTTCGGGTTTGTAACTTTTTTCGAGAATTGCTGGATGTATTGCTTTTGTTTTTTAATCATTTTTATCCTTTTGATTTATGAGTAATTGTTATAAAACCTTTATATTTTGCCGTTGTAGTACCAAGAAGATTCAGATGTAGAATCTCTTGTTAATAAACTGCTAGCAATACTGGACAAGCCAGAAAAGGCTCTTTTGTTGAGAGATATCAGGTAAGGAATCTTCGCCGTCATTGCAACTATCTTCGCTACCAATACAGGAAGCGACAAGTCACTGTAACAATTCGCATCATTTGACAGAAAGGGGGGGGGGGAGGAGGATGGGAGAATCTTTATGAAAATCTTTTTCCCCGTTTAAAGTGACCCAACACTAAACCGAATTGAACTCGTAAGTGAAGTATAATAACTGGTCATTCTATTTTCACACGAAACGGGAGCGGACGATTTTTGAGGGGAACACAGGGGGATTAGTCGTTGCTAACAGAGTCTAGAGGGGGGAAACTATAGAAAATTGACTGCCAATGAACAGCCGATGGAAGGAGAACATAAGAATAAGAACTGGGAGATCTTTTAAACTAATTAGCCATCTTTTTGGCATGATAAAAGAATGTAGGAGAGCGTGGGTGCACCCTTATGCAGGTGATTCGCGGGCTTTCACTCCCCGTGTACGGTGGTGAGAAAAATCTTTATCAGAGTGTATAGATTTAATAAATGAAAATTCCCCAAGAAATGATTCCTCTTTGTGAAAAGATTACATGGAAAATATGTTTTATATAATTTGTTGAATTCATCGACAGGACGTTAGTTTTACCCTACGACCTTGGAAGGTTCGATGCTATGGTGTCAGCGCATGAAAAGGAGGCATTGGAGTACCTCAGTGGATTCGTGCCCGGTAGGAGCAAATAATCCCAAGATTATTTCCAGCATATGAAAGTTCTAGTGGTTTTGAATTCTTTGTTTGATGCGATGTTCATGTTTATGTCTCTTTTCTAAGGTTCGCCAACCATAATACCTACCGTTGCTGAGAAACCGAAACGTCAACTTGTGGCTGCAATTCAAGGTAGTGTCTTAGATAAACGGTTAGGCAGGGGGTGGGTCCTTATCATTAGCGCTGCAGGACGCGCGTTTCTTCGCCTGCCGGAAGATTGGAGTCGAGTCGGGGATAGTTTTACCGCCACTTTTCCACAGGCGAAGAAAGGCTCGAGCCGAAGCGCCACTAATGTGGGCTTGCATTGCTCCCAGGCTAATGAGCGTTGAGCTTAAAATTGGCCTAGTTTTTTGTGTGTGTTTTGTGCGAACACATGTTGGCAGTTCGAGGTTAGGGAAATATCTACCAGGAACTTGTTTTAGCGATATTCTGTTCAAGCATTAGGCGACACGCATTCTGCGTGATCTCGGATCAGCGAATTGGAGAATTTATTTTGTTTGAAAAATCCCTCCTTTAGTTGAGTACATTTTTAGTAAGGCGTTTCAAGTTGGTTTGTTCGGTAAGTCATTTAGTATGTCTTCAGAATTTTGATTCCATATCGTGCCGTTTATGAACAGACTACATGATATGACGTTTATCCGAAGGCTCAGCAAACTTGTTACGCAGATTTTAGCTTGAAAGAGACTTTTCAAACTTAAATAAAATTTCAAAACTCAGGATTGTCGTTCTATTTTTTACACCTATACTTTGCCTCCATTTTTCAAAGTGAGCGATCCTTTGGGGGAAGAAATAAAGAATATTCTTTCAAGATCATTAACGTATAATTTCAGATTAAGTAGGGATGCAGAGAGGAAACATTTTAGTTATTTAAAACCGCAGCTGTTGGGTGCCGTAAATTGTCTAAAGGCAACATAGCCGTAAATAAGTAATGTCCAAGATAGTATCTCACATTTCAGTGGATGGAATATTTTGCTTTGTGCTCCAGTAGATAATTATTTTGTTTTTCGGTAACGAGAAGTGCCTGCTGTGAATTGTTTTAAGGCAGAACATCCCACGCTCTTCATTTATCATCTTTTAACCACAAATGTGTGTAAAAGGGGTTAAATATTTTAGCGAAAGCGCTTCCCTGGGAAAAGAGTTCTTTCTAAGTTTACTGGGTTACAGTTTTAATCGACTATTTTTGTTACTTCACATTCACAGACAGCAGAGGGAGTTTTCAATTAAGAACGAAAGAAGAGGTGGAGAAAATCAAACAGGAAAAGGAAGAGATGGCAAAAAAGCGAGAACAAACGGCCTGGCTGGGAGGCAGCATTCTCGATCGACATACGAGAGTCCCAAACAATCCAAACGCTATCATACGTCTACCGGAAAACTATAGAATGGATTCCGTTGCTGAGAAAGATTCGACCACAAGTAGCAATGCTCCAACTTCATTTGATGTTCCAGTGATACAGGTGAACAACGGCGAGGCGTTCAGAGGAACGAAACACGATGAAAATGACAATGAACGACTCGTGGCGTCGAACTCGCTCCTTGTTCCCGACAGAGTGTCGATCGAGTACAAGGACGACGAGGAAGCAGTTCCTTCGGCGTCCACTTTATCAGGGTCTCCTTTTTCCATGGCTGTTCCGGTTATATCCGTTTCCAATGACAACAAAGCAGTTACGATACTACTCTCGAAAAAGAGAACAAGTTTAGGTAAGGGACTTTTTATCCTCTGAAATTTGGGAAAAACCAGTGTGTTCATATTCGAACTAATCCACGGATCGTGAAATCCTATGCGATTTTTTTTCTTTGTTAGCAATGATAGCATTGGGATCGCTTTCATTTGGGTTTATATATTCATTTGTTTGTCTAGGTATAAGTATTTCTGGAGGAAAAGGCTCCAAGACGCAACCCGAAGTCAGAGTAGAGAAAATTTTTCCTGGTGGCGCTGCAGCTGATGATGGAAGACTCAGGGTAAGGAGATACAGACACATTTGCAGTAGATTTAACCTGAAGTCTGGCCTTTTCACTAGCCCTTCGGCACGAGCGTTTTCTTTTTTTTTTTTTTTTTTTTCCCGCCCGCAGGTTAAAATATGAGGCCGTGAACAGTCTAGCACTGATCATTATTAGCACCAGACCTCCGGCCAACTTCTCCCCGACTCGTCTTAAGTCTTCCCGCGGGCGCTATTAATGAGGGCTTGCGCGAAAGGCTACAATGGATTATTTTCTTTAGCAAGTGAACTTTTCATAAAGAAATGTTCGCCATGCGCAGTTGCATCTGGCTTGTGAAAAGGTTGGTATATGAAAAATTAAAACGGGCTTTGTGCTAATGCATCATGTGTTATCATTCCTTGCCTATTAGAGTGGTGATGAAATTCTGTCAGTGGACGGCGAGAGCCTTCAAGATGCCACACACGCCGAGGCTGTGGATATCATCAGAAAGTCGTACAACAACAAGAGCAAGGATGTCATGGAGATTGTAGTGATACCCAAGCAGTAGCAGAGTTTTGTGAAGTATTATTTAATTGGTATGGGGTTAACTGTACGTTGGACAAGCACAAAATCACATGCTTTCACACGCGTAGTAAAAACAGTTTTACACAATTTAGTCTACTGTAAGAAAAAAGTATGCTTTCTCTATTTGACAATCCCTTCGGAAATTCTATCCGTTTAGCCAACATTCACTTTAATTCGTGTTAAAATTTTCCCGATCAGTTTCCAGGGACTCATTGGAAGGCAGTGGTAATTCACAACGTTTATGTTTGGAGTTAGACTGATTTTTTAACACAATTTTCTGCTTAGAATAACCAGTAATAATAATTTTTATGAAACATCAACTGATTTTAGATCAAAGTTTTCTAAGGTTTGCTCAATAATTATGTCATGCAGCACAACGCTTTTAGCCAGAATTGTAAATACATCAAAATGGTTTTAGTCACATCACATTTACCAATCGCCCCCTTGCGTTCCCAGCCGTCTGCTTTTTGTCACTAAGAATCCTTTTTATCCAACGTTCCTTAATACACCGCTGGCTATTGAATCGCCTGCATCTCTTAGTTTTTAGAATCGATGCATATCACAATTACTTTTGTCTGTTTGGTTATATAACTGGGCGCAGGACGTCTTTTTAAAACCGAAAAAGAGCGCTAAATTCATACTGCCACACGTCTTACGTATTTGATGAATGAGTTTGCCATCGGACATGCAGTCCGTTTCAATTAAGCTGGGCAGCCATATTAGGCTTTTTGAAATTGCTGCATATGTTTAGTCAGAAAGGAGTGATTTCTCTTGTTTAGGTAACTTAAGTAAATGACTTCAATGTCACTACCAGTCCCTCTCCTTTTAACTCTCCTTATGCGAATGCGATAGAAACCTTGGGGTGCAGTTGGAAGAGAGAGCTTGGGAATAAGTTTATAATCAGTTAAGAGAGAATTTTACAAAGTTTCTTTTGAAATTTTTTTAACTTCTTAGTGTTAAAAAAGGAGTGATTAAGTTTAAACTGGAAAAGTTTTGTTTGAAAATGAGTATTTTACTCGAGAGTTGCCTTCTTTCTAGCTGTGTTGCTTCTTAACGAGAAAAATCTACTATTTCAGGCAGTTTTCTGCTGGGTGCGTGTCGTATGTATAGCTATAGGTGGACCCGAAGTTCCCAAGAAAGGGTTGTCCTCCGAATTATTTTAATATCTGTTTTTAGAAAAATGTTTGCAATAGTGTTTGTTCAGAGATTCTCAATTTTTGTGATTTGTTAAAATATCTCTTTTTTTTGGTTTCGTAATATTTGAAAAAACGACTTTTTTTTAATTACCCCATGTTTGTCAACGTCGTTAAAATTTTGAATACTGTGTTGCCCAAGAAAGATTTCTTCATCACAGATCAGTAAAAAGAGACCTAACAGGAAAACTTTTGTTTTACCAAGTCCCATTGCAAAAGATAAAATCGAAGAAAAGAAAAAAACAAAAAAGAAAAAAAGAAAAGAAGCTTAAGTCAAACCAAACCTTCAAAAAGCTTTAGCTTGTAGTACTTGTTGCCCAAGAAGTTTACTACAAGCCTCGACTCGATGCACTGATCCCAGCCGGTTTACCTAGCCCATGTACAATCATATTCAATGAAAACTGGCTAAACACACCACTTATGTTCACACAAAGATCTCCCCTCCCCCATAAACCAGTGAAATTCATCTATTCATTTCTTTCTGGGGCAGACAAGAGTCTTCAAGTGACGAAATATCGTTTTTTTTTCTATGAAATGTGATATTTTGTCTCGTATCATTAGTGTGAAAATATATTTTAATCATTGGATTAAAATGAACAGCTTTCTCGGTATGAAAATGATTCGGCACCATCGTAAACAGATCATAGCGTCATATTTTTGTAAGATAAAATGGAAACAAACTTTCTATAACGTACGATGTACATTAATCAGTAGCCATAATTTGCAGTAAAATTTGATATTTAGCAGAGATGTTGTTGATCTTGGTTATTCATTTTCGGTTTTGACATACAAGGAGTCCTTACTTGTCCGTAACAAAGTTTACTCCCAAACCCAGAAATAAGTTCCCGTTCATACACTATAAACCGTGTGAAAAATAAAATTAAAAAGACTATCTTTCTACTCTGTGTCTATACTACCACATCGCCATTCAAACATCCACCTCACAAAACTCACGAGTAAATGACCAGAACACAGGACAAATCAATTTCTTTTAGGAGTACTTCTACACAATCAGAGGAAATCGAATATTATCCCGTTCCAGTTTAGCCTTGTTACAAAAGTAATAGCAAAGATTGCACACTCCCAATCAATCTAATGTGTCACGCAATCTGGTTATCATTTCGCGCGATTGAAGTAATAGAACCATAGAGTATCGACCCACATTTTCACAATACTATCGCACAGTGAAAAAAGGCGGCGTGCATCACTGCTTGCGTCATCAAAGGGAGCTCAGTCCCAGGCTCTGGCAGACGAAACGCTACGAGGAATTCAGATACAACTGCTCACCTTATCAGTAACCGAGCACTTTTTACACGATTTTGTTCCTTTGCTTTTTAACCAAGACGCAAAGCAAAATAAAAATGCTACAATGTGCCATGAAAATGGTTGCACGGTAGCACTGTTTAGCCTAGACAGGTGCAGTACAAACTATATATTTTGATAAATTATTATCGTTATCATTATTATTGTCCTCGTCATCATAATCATCATTATTATGATTATGATTATTCCTTGCTTCCCCCAAATTTCTCTCTCGCTTAACAGGAAAGGGTTCCCGGAAGGAAGCTCGAAGCGTTTGTTCAGGACCTAAAGACTTAAGGTCTTAGCGGAGGGAGGAGGGGAAAAGTGGTACTGAAGATTACTTTACAAGGCTACACTGATAAGTTAGTCAGACCTTTAATATCCCTATTATTTACCATGATAGTAAAATAAAGATACAACAAGGTGCTTTGTCAACGCATTACAAAGACGTGTCCAAGCTAGAGCTTCCCACATAGATGATCTATGGGGCCCAATTCGTAGGGTGGGTGTAGAGATAAACATAACAAAGTTCCTCAACACACGATGGTAATAATCAGGAACATAGTTTTTCTACTAACATTAAAGTTAAATAATTATACTACACTCAGTTCAACTTACATTAACACCTTTAAATACTTTGCTAGGGATTTAAAATGTGAAGGAAAAAACGAGAAAAAAAAACGGAAAAGAAAAACATCAATAATCTTTAATCATAGGCTCACAAGAGCCATGTTGGAGAAAAGTTGCAAAACAATACTATCGGTGACAAAACATAAGGTTTGGTTCCCTAGTGTTGTAAGTGTAACACTGCCATATTCACTGTTCTTGCTTAAGAAAAACGACGATAAAAAAACAAACAAACAAACAAACAAAAAACATTTGTTGAAATGGACATTTCACCCTAGCCACTGACTCTCTGAACCCTTAAGTAATTTCTACCATATCCCAATAACAGTACCATTGGTTTTAGTCTCAGTACAGTCTCGTTTGTCTGGAATGATGTTTTGCATGTCATTAGAAAGATTAAGCACAACAACCTTATAGAGCCATTTCTACAGTTCAAAATTACAGCTTGAAACCAACTAGAGAGACGTATCACACTGAAAAAGATGTAAAGTACAGCTTCCGTGACACGTTTTCTCTCTCCAGACTAGTAAACTAATACTCCCAACCAACAGGAAAATATTCTTTTTTTAACTACTACAAAGATTAAGTATTTCATCCAAACTGTACGATGATTTTCTTACTTCTTATTACCTAACTGTTTCACAGGGTATCAAGCCTGTAAAGAGAATTTAAAGTGTGATCACTAGTGGGGTGGAAGAGTTAAATATTTGCTGCTTCTCTGTGGACACACCATGTCCATTACAGTCAAGTCGTGTTGTTAATTAGTTGATTAACTTGTTAATGTGATACATGTTTAGTACATTGTTGAAATCTGTGTTTGTGAGCTTTCCACAAACTGTTTGTGTTCATGAGTTTCTTGTTGGACCTTTTCATATCTCCTGGTAAGATTTCCTCTTTTTGTTGTCTTCTTCACACACTTCATTCCACTTTACAAAGTTCAAGTATAGTGAGTAGTTAACATTTTGTCGTAAAATAGTCGATCACCAGGTGTAGAGGAAGTTCATGGCTTCAACTCTCCACCTGCTGTCATTGTTGCTGATGCTTGCTTGGGTCACTGTCGCCGCTCTTTCTGCAGAGCTGTGCAACTTTTATTTGCCTCCTCCTCCTCCTCCTCCTCCCCTCCCCTCTGTATGGATTCCTCTTTCGTACGTAGTGTTTTCAACTGTTAAAAATTGATCTGTTTGTTGTCTTGTCTGTTCCTGATCTCTGTCTCTGTCTCTGTCTTGTTTGGAGGCCTATACAATTTTTTCCTAAAAAATTTCAGTCCAAGAACACAAAGGATAAGAAGAAGGCATTTCCTTAACCCCTCCTTGAAATCCATGAGATAGTCATTCATATGTTCCACCCTACTTTGATTGCTTAGCTGGTTTCTGTCTTAACATTTGTGTAAAGTAACAAGTCTTGTTTTAAAGTTAAACCAGTGATGTCCTTCCACTTCCATGATTCTTCACTGGAATGTTTCCTGGTTACGTCAGTTTTAGTCACTTGTGGATATTTCAACAGTGTGTTCCTAATTTAATCTTTCCAAGGAGAGCCACACACCTCCATAGCACTGCACAGATTTCATTCAGTCATGGTATTCAGTTGCTAGGTTTATAGATACACATAAAGAATGAGGCACAGGATTGACAGATTCCATTTACAAACAAAAACATAACTGATTCTCTTGATAACTGTAACACGTTTTATAACACTTTGACATAAACAAAAACAAATAAGTCAAGTTTTTTGTCCATTGGTAGCTGTTTGCTATACTGTCTTGTCCAGTTTCTGTTAGCACTTCTTGAAAACCAATTGATACAGTACTACACTTGCATCCTTGGTACAAGAAATATGAAGATCCAGTGGGATACACCATTATCAACCACTCAGACACTTCAGTTTCATTTTCTTCTTCTTCATCATCATCATCATCTTCTTCCTCAACTCAGACGGTGGGCATTTCAGGTCTGCACCAACACAGTCCAGTTGAAGGGAAAAATTGTCTTATTAGTACTTAGCATTACTCTACTGTTATATTGCTTAGTATGTTGTTAGGGTAAGATTTCCTCTGCACAGCCCCATACTACAATATGCATACAGTTCTTAGTTAAAGGAAACAATAGCAAGATTGCATTCAGCGCTAAGACTTTATTTGATAACAGCATGGGGCTGTACCAAAATTTTACCATTGTTAGCAAATTACTGTTAGTACTGTTTATAACTTTTAAAACTTAGCTGTTACATATATGTATTTTAACACAGTGTATCACACAGAATTGAAGCAGCAAATGGATTCTCTAGTAAACACATTGGCAAGTTCAATTCATCTTGTCTCATATGTAAATTATTTGTCTCAAAGCTAAAACAAAAAATATGTAAAAATAATTGATAATCTAACTGTTTTTTCCCTGTTAAATTATGTTGAACTAGTAAATGAATACTGGCAAGACTGTGTAAATACAGTTTTCAAATAATTATATAAATTTCCTTAAAATGACATGCAACACCATCAACTCCTTGAGTTTTTACTTCAGTCTTATGTCTTCTGTCTCATGAATGATTGTGCCCCTCCCTCAAAAACAAAAACAAAAACATTAAAAATATAACAAAAAATAATACACCTCCTTGGGGATAACTTCCATGAGTTTATCAACCACAAAAAGGAATTCTTGGTTTGGCTTCGCTTCTCTTCTCTTCCACCATTCACTGTGAGGTCTGCTTCCAAAAGCTAACCAAACATGAAGGCTGTGGGTTGTGCAGTGTGCTCTACTTTATGATAATGGTACATTGTTTTAATGACTATTAGTGTGATAATTTTCTATACTGTTATGTTTTGGCTTGCTCGACTATTTACCTTGTGCAATTCTGCCAAATAATTGTGCTAATTAACTTTCTTGTGCTACTACTATCTAATATATCAGTTACAGTTGTTAGTAAACAAAAGATTTGTTAGTATATGGAATGAAATGAGTGTTGTGACTGTGTTTTTCCCTTGTCAGTCTTATCTGTCATGCTAACCTAAAGAATGGCCCTTTTAAATGACAAAACATTCAAACTTTCCTAATACAATGGCTAAGGTGAAATATCCCTTTTAGGCAGTCTTTTGAGCAGGGAAATGTCTATTGACAACCCACTTACATCGATATACAACAAAAAAAGAAGCTCACTGTATCTTAAGATTGTTTACAATTCACGAAAATAACCTACAGTTGTACCTTAATAATTACGCTCTGTTTTTTAACAAGCAACACAAAAGCTCGCTTGAAATTACTCGTACCAAACCTCACAGGTCATTCCAAGTGAATTCTGTCTAAATCATCACAACAGTGAACATAGAGAGGGAAGAAAAGTCCTGTAAAAGTCTATCAGTAAGTCTAATTGAGTACTGTCAAAACCATAGTTGGTTAATTTTAGCACATTGTTTAGTTCCTATTAAGAAAATTCAACATATCTGGAGATAGACACCCCAAGGGCTGCCCTGGTGTTTCGCTACATCAGTTTGGTCACCAAAAAAAATGGAAAAAAAAATGAAATGAATTTCAGGTAAACACACTTTTCCTACATGTCATATTACAACCACAAAAATAACAACAAAACAAAACAGAATGAAAAAAAAAATGAGAATACCCTTTACAATACTGTCACACTCAAGCAAATGACTCAATAGTGTCCCTAATTATTCCAAGGGATTCGTGGAGCTGTTCCTCTGTGATCACCAAAGGCGGTGTAAAGCGAATAATGTGATCATGAGTAGGTTTAGCTAGAAGACCATTATCCTTCAGTTTTAAACACACCTTCCAGGCATCGAAGTCTATAAAAAAAAAAAAAGATAAAAGTTTAAAAAATTACCTGGTATATGATCTGTATTAGTCACATACACAAGCCTATGAAAATTGATGTAATTTAAGAGAAATTTTGTTCTGACAATTTCCTAGCCAATGACAACCATAAAAATGTCCACTTTGCACAGGAGAACTTAAGATTTATGGCATTTACAGTGTGTTGCATCAAGGCTGAAGTGTAATTCTTTGTATCAATTGCTCATACTCTTTGAAAAACAAGACAACCTTGAGAAACTACAGAGCAAGGACAAGATTAGGAACAGACTAGAACTAAAAGTAACATCAGCAAATGGAGCTGAACCTCAGCTGTAGTTAAGGGAAAAAATTAACTTAGTTCTTTTTCCATACAACCCTTCACATTCCCTGTTATCCATTTTTTTTGGGGTGTTTCATGGGCTTGTTGTTTGAAAACATTCTATGTTTCAAAGCTTATATTCATGATTCTGTGATTGAAGTGTGGATGTCTTGTATTCTGCAACATACACCTTTACTGATAACTGACGGGCTATACCAGCAACTAAACTACTCGCTACATCTAGTTACAAGCTCGGCTTTTATAGGTGTGGTTGAGGATCTACAACATCCTGTAACATTACAACAGATTCTATTTATATATTGATTCAGGGATGACTCAGCATGACACAGGTACTTCTAGAACATTCTTGAAGGTCACACTACAGTGACAATTAATGCTTGCAAATCTTACCATTTGTTGGTATTATCTCTATGGCATTCATAAGTCCCTTGCCACGAGCAGTCTTGACAACAGCTGGGTTCAGCTTCTTCAGTTCTGGAACCATGATGTCTCCAAGCCTGGCAGCACGTTCAGCCATTTTTTCTTCTTCCAAAACCTACATGTGTAAAACACAGCAACTTCTGTATAAACTTCTACTAATCAATTACAACATACACTTTTCTAGAAGTCCAAGGCGTTTGATCTTGTAAGCAGAGAGGGTCTCTTCAGAATTCTATCTAAAATTGGCTGCCCCCCTAAACTACACAGCCTGATTGAGTCCTTCCATGCCAACATGCAGGGGACTGTGCAGTTCAACGGCAGAACCTCTGAGTCATTCAACATCAACAGCGGCGTCAAACAGGGCTGCGTACTTGCCCCAACCCTTTTCGGAATCTTCTTTGCCTTCCTTCTGAAACATGCATTTGGCGCATCGAAAGAAGGGATCTACCTGCATACAAGATCAGATGGCAGGCTTTTCAATCTTGCCCGTCTCCGAGCAAAGACCAAAGTGCGTGAAGCCCTGATAAGAGACATGCTATTTGCTGACGATGCAGCAGTAGCCTGCCATACTCAGCAAGCACTTCAGTCACTCATGGACCATTTCTCTCAGGCCTGCAAAGACTTTGGGCTTACCATCAGCCTGAAAAAGACTAAAGTCCTGGAACAAGGAACAGAAACACCACCATCCGTTACCATCGACGATTACGAGCTCGAAGTGGTCCATCATTTTACGTATCTAGGCTCCACTGTCACTGACAATCTCTCCTTAGACTTCGAGCTCGACCAGAGAATTGGAAAGGCGGCTGCCACACTTGCACGCCTCACTACACGTGTGTGGTCCAACCCCATGCTCACAGAGAAGACCAAGATGGCAGTATACAGCGCTTGTGTCATCAGTACACTGCTATACGGCAGCGAGACATGGACGATGTACGCCAGACAAGAAAAACGCCTGAACACCTTCCACATGAGAAGCCTCCGCCGCATCCTGGGAATTTCGTGGCAAGACAAAGTCCCAAACACAGAGGTCTTGTCTCGTGCGGGCCTGCCAAGCATGTCAACCTTACTCAGGCAACGTAGACTCCGCTGGCTGGGCCACGTTCATCGCATGCCAGACGGCCGCATCCCCAAAGACTTACTGTATGGTGAGCTAGCCACTGGAAGTAGACGCAGAGGACGCCCACAGCTGCGATACCGAGATGCTTTGAAGCGTGACATGAAGGCTGTAGGAATTGACACAGAGACCTGGGAAAATCTCACAGCTGATCGGTCACAATGGAGAGGAGCCGTTACAAGGCACCTCAAAACAGGAGAAGAGAAGCTGACACAAGCTGCCACAAGGAGGCGGACCCGCAGAAAACTTCGTATCAGCAACGTCCAACAAACAGCATACACGTGCAGCACTTGCGGCAGGGACTGCCATTCACGCATTGGCCTTCACAGTCATAGCCGCAGATGCTCCAGCCAAACACACAATTAGGATGCTATACCCATGGTCGACCCTGACCGATGGAGGCCTACTACTAATTGGCACAATGAAGACTTTTCTTGACCAGGAACAAAATGAGCAGTGCATGTCACAATATCACTAAAAGGTAAAGATAGCTTACACTGAACCACAATGAATGGTTCTGAATGAGAAAAAAGTCCATCTCATCTTTTCCCTTCCAAAAAACATGCTGCATTTGCCAAACAGTTCTTGAATAGAAAAAAAAAGCTAGGCAGCTCGACATGAAACCAAACATTCACTATAATTATCGATAATATTCATGATTCAAAGATTGAACTTTATTCACAGGATCTCAATTTTATATCTTACTTTTAAAGCAGTTACAGCCACTTTGCAGCCAAGTGGGTTTCCACCATAAGTTGAGCCATGCTGAAAGAAAAGCAAAGATCACCTCACTGCACATGTAGCATTCTTTTCATAAATACTGGAAGAAAAAATATAGAAAATGACATTATGTCTGGCTAGAGTTTTAGCATTACCTGTCCTGGTTTGATGGTAAGCATAACTTCATCATCACAGAGAACTGCTGAAACCTAATAAAACACAATTCATCAAAAGAAGGTAGGGTTCAATATAGAATTTCCTTTACAACACAAAAAAATATAAAGCAGCAGGGAGTTCAAATCTTAAAACTACACAAGACTTGTTGTAAGCCAACATCAATATTTCTGTTTAATTCTTTTTAACAAATCCACATCAAAAGGTACAAAAATGATACATATCAAGGGAGTAAAGGATGGTGAGCACAAAAAACCAAAATTATTCAGTACAAATTTCAATTGAGGAGGTTTTAACTTAGGGTTTGTTTCATTAAAAGAATAAATGTGAGTAGGGGGTGACAGGCCAAGGACATGAGATATAATGACAAGTCTGAATGCAACTTACTGGGTAAACTCCACCAGAGAGAGCTTTTCCAAGGACAACAAGGTCTGGTCTGACATTCTCGTGATCAACACACAAGCGCCTGAAGTCACAAAATATGTTAGATATTAGCCACCAAAGTTCTGAGTGAATACAAAAAAAAATTTACTGCTGTGTAGTTATTTATTTTGAGTCACGTCAGGGTCAAGTGGAACAAAGCTGTAACAATTGATAGGGTAAGCAAAAGCCAAAGAGCTGAGAACAGACAAGAAAGGAATGAGGCTGATTGAGGACAGAGATTATAAACACTGACTGCAATGGAGAAATTTATTTAAAAACAAAAGTCAACATAAAAAAAGTGTTATATGAGAACAATCAAAGAAATTGCAGAAAAGACCCTTGAGAAAATTAAGGCTTTGATGGAATTCAAACCTGAGCCTCCAAGATACTAGCTAGATGCTACTAATCATGTACCAACTGAGCTACAAAGTCATATGTGGAGTGGCAAATTTTAGTAGGTTATTTCTTCTCGTAAAGGAATTGAATCCCAATTCAGTGAAAGAAATGACATTTCATGCATATATCAACCATAGGCCAAAACATCATTTGTTTCAATTAAAGGTGAAACTATTTTTAAGGCAACAGGGCTTTGGCACTTTAAAGCTCTATAACAAATTTAAAGGATATTTATAACTACTAGTTAAGGTATGATCATTGTGCTGTACAGATTGAAAATGAAAATTTCCAAGACATTTCTCAAAAAATATTACAAATTAAGTTAAAAAAGAAAAGACAAGATGTTATACTGACTGCAACAAAGTGCTTTTACAAAAATAACATAACAAAACAGATACACACCTTCCAGTTCTCCCAAGGCCAGTCTGTACTTCATCAGCAATGAAAAGAACCTGAAACATTGAGTACAAGCAACAAATGAGCTGCTTATCATCAACTCTTAAGATTCCAAAAGCAGATATTTCAGTTAAGGAATGATTCCAAACACAGGATGTTTTAACTGCGGAAAAATTACTGCTCTTGACATTAACAGAAAAACAACACTTGGGATTGCCATTCTTTTTTTATTACTGATCACAACCTTTTCCTGATTTTTTTCTACACCTTCTTTCTCAGACTTAGGTTGGGAGCAAAATTACTTAGCTTGAATAGCAGTTTTTGTCCATTTGCTTAGAAAATGTAGTCTTCTAAACACCCTCTGAAAATGTTAGGCTCAAATTGATATTTTAAAAAATTTACCTACCTTATAAGGATTTCACTAAGCAGAAAACTCCAGGCATTTTTAGCTTTTAACAGGACTTGAGTTTCAGTCTAATTTTTTCTGGTCTTGAAAATTAGGTTCCAAAATATCCATGTTTTTTTTTAAGACACTGTACAAATGGTCCTTACTTAAAAAACCATAGTAAAGCTCTAACCTTGTACTTTGAACAGAGCTCTCTAACACCTCTCAAGTATCCATCATCAGGAATCTTTACTCCAGCCTCTCCTTGTATTGGTTCCACCATGAATGCACACGTGTTTGGATCACTTATAGATTTCTAAATAAATGCAAGGAAAACCAGTCCTAAGCTCAAAAAAATGAATATAAGGAAACCATGTTGACTTAGAGTAGGCTGAATCAAACAGTGGACCCAACAACAAGGCTGTGCTCTAAGAAAATTTTTGGGGAGCCCAAATGGCTCCTAACTATTCCAGCTAGGGTGCCCAGCCCTCCAGGTTGGTTGCCCAAAAATTAATTAACTAAGAAATTAATAAATTAATTAATCAATCAAGTAATTAATAACTTAAAATTAATTTATTTTGTGTTTTAATCAGTTAATATATAATCAAACCATAAATTTCAATAATTCTTACACTTGCAGGAAAGCTGAGGGATTGTGGAAAAGTACATAAAGTAATTGCAAGTCACTTATCACAGCAATCGATAAACAACTACCGACAAAGCTGACTTGCTGGATATTTGCACATAGAATGAATCTTGAAATAAAGATAAAAGCACTGCACTTTCCAAATCCATCAAAATGCTGAAATAAATCAGACATTTATTATCTCAAGGAAAATTGCAGTGTTCAACGCAAATTCTTGCAATGTCTGTGCAGTTCATCATGCGTGAAGTGAAACAAACTACTATTTCAATAATTATTATAATTTGAGTTTGTGTGAAATCATGTGGAACAAAACGTGATAGTAACTTTGAGAGCTTTGAATGTGAATAATTTGACATGTCACGCAAAAGAATATTTTTCTGCTAGTGACGCTTATAAATCAACCAAATAAAAATGTATCAATCAATCACCTCATTTACCACAGAGGCAAATGCTGCTCAAGGGGCTGAGTGCCTGGCTGAGCAACCAGAATATTTTTTCAGTCGCCTGGGACCAAATGTTAGTTGCCTGAGGTGACCAGGTGCCACTAGAGCATAGCCTTGAACAAAGGAGTAATTTAAGAGCAATAACCCTTTTTACCTCACTTCTCTCAGTTACCCTCATTGAAGGTGATCCCCAATTGCCAATCCCCAACATTTATCACAGTCTAGCAGATGTTCCCTAACTGAAGTTTCCATCCCTTCATGGTACACCTTACTCAAGTGCAAAGGGTTTCCTCTAGAAAGAGGTTCCACGTTATGTTTGTAGCTGTTACCCTCACTCAAAGGTGCACCCCCCCCCCTCTTCCCCACCCCAATTCCAAGGCAGACTCCTTGTGACCTTTGTATTCTTATATTCTCTCTATGGTCTATTTTTATTGTATCACCAAAACAGAAGTTCTGTGTAACCTTTTTATTGGTTTCATTCATTGAGGGCACATCTATATTTAGGGAACTCTTTTCATTGTCTCCAAGATTGTTCCCTTAATTGGGCGCTTATTTTGATTTTTAGCAATAAATAGGGGGTTCCTTTATTGGGAAAGGATAACTGAAAAGTGTTACCTCGAGAATTTAAGGTCTTTCCATATATTTTTAACACGACGATGCGATAAGGAAGAACATTCAGGGAGAGTGTTTGTAATAACACACCCGCTTCTCTACATTTCTAGTTTAAGAACACGTGGCACTGAACTAGTGTCTGATGATAATCACAACACTCACCTCCAAAGCAGCAAGGTCGTTGTACGGAATGAGTTCAAAGCCTGGCATAAAAGGACCGTATTCACCGTAACAGTCTGGATCAGATGACGATGACACCGCGGCTAACGTCCTTCCCCAAAAATTCTCTTCAGCGAAGACAATTTTGCCTTTGTTTGCTGGAATTCCCTTCACCTGATAACCCCATTTTCGCGCCAACTTACAAGCTGTTTCACCTCCCTCGACTCCCGTGTTCATGGGCAGTAGTTTGTCATAGCCAAAAAGTTTTGTAGCAAACTCTTCGAATTCCCCCAAAACATCGTTATAAAACGCTCTAGAGGTCAGCGTCAAGATTTCTGCTTGGTCTTGAAGCGTTTTCACAATTCGAGGATGGCAATGTCCTTGGTTCACAGCCGAGTACGCGGCGAGAAAGTCGAAGTATCGCTTTCCAGTCACATCCCAGACGAATACTCCTTCACCCTTTGCCAAAGCTGCTGGTAAAGGATGGTAGTTGTGGGCGCCATAGGTGTCCTCCCGCTTGAAAATGTCTTCAGGTGTGAGCTGATGTTTGGTCGCAGCGGCTGGAGTAGAATACAATCTCGTCACACGAAACAGATTTCTGTTCAATGGACGAGCACAAAGGCGAAGCATTTTTAGAGGTTTAAAGTACAAATTAAAACGAAAAAAAAAGGGCGAATCACAAAAAATACAGTTTCGCCTTTCAAATTATAACCCAATTTTTTAACGTAACAACGGTTACACCGTAATGAAATTCCTATTCCACTCCAACCACAACGACCGTGAGAGAGAGAACAACCAGTGCTGAGGACTTGTTTATATTCTCATTGGAGAAATACCATATTTGGAATATGACGGCCCAATCCCTCGCCGTCAAGGTTGCACTCTTCATTGTTTTACCCCATTGAGGAAACACAGAAAAAGCACAAACAAGCAAAAAGCAGAAAATATCAATACATCTTGTGAAGAAAGGAAAATGGTAATTTGTGATCCCATTAGTGATTGATGATCATTTTGTTATCAATCTCCCATGCTATACAGCACTATGAAAAAAAGCTAAAACGATAAAAAAAACAAAAACAAAAAAAAACAGCATTTCAAGATTGCAGCACACTGAAAGTATGATTCCCTTATCCCCTGTCTTGGTTTAGGGTCCATTTGTGGTCTGTTGAAAATTGCCTCTCCCACCTCTTTCGTGGACCAATCTAAGTCCCTGTCCTGACTCCACCCTTTGTGGACTATTGGATGCTAATCCCACTTGGGAGACATAGGGCTATGAGTTTTTCTAGAACCCTCACCTTTAATATAATTAGGCTAGGTAGAATTATCTATGCTAGAGAGGGATGGATTACTTTCAAACCAATGCTTTGCACTTATCCATTATGATCCTGCCTCTAGAGCTAGGTCCCTTACCCTCCCCCCCCCCCCCATAAAAAAAAAACAACAACAACAACGAAGTAAAGAGCATGATCACAAAGCAAATACCATGTGATTTATTTGTCCATTCCATAATTATGAACATGATTAACAGTTAATTTGCTATTATCAACTGAGTTAACATAAATTGGCCACTGTAAAGAGTTTCAAAACCCTCTTCACCATAAAGAAACTCTTTACAAAGGCCAATTTTTTTTATTGACTCAGTTGATAATGTTGATAATACCAAATTACCCTGTTATACCCTCCCACTGGCACAGCACCACGGTTTATTCAGAAATTTACCTCCTTTAAAATGTTATCATGTTTGTTACACAAAGGATACCAGTGCATATTTTTTTTGACACAATTAATTTAAATTCCTGGTTCTTTATGATGTTAATAATTGCAAAAAACCAAATTCCACGAATGAAACTGAATTACCATTGATAATATAAAAAACTGTCACTCACCACGAAATTAATTTATAGTATATAAAATTTTAACTCCCATATTTTTATTAACATGAACACACATTCACATATGCTTAACCATTAAGCCCCCAAAAGCGATTAACATGTAACTTCTCCCTATAATATCCACACACTGTTCAGCAAACAGGTAATAAGAATACTCAAACTTATCAGTTAGAAGTTGTTATCTTGATCTAACACCAAATTCTCGTAACTAATCAACAAGGAAATGTGTAGCAGCTGGAGAGGAGAATTAACAAGTAGATCTTGGGAGTTACAGGGTTAAATTCCCTCAAAAATTTAGAAAATCCTACAACATTGCATAAATTCCCAATGCTTGAGACCAAGACCATGAAAAATATCTTATTTCTTCTAATAACTTATCTTTGTGACTTAAATAGGATGAATTCATGAAGTGAAAAATTCACAAATTAAGATATGAATTATTGAATATGTATGCTGCAGAAAAATATGTTTTCTATTTCTACCATCTAATACATTTCATAAAATTTACTATTACTCCTTGTTTGAGATTCCAAAGAGTTGCAAAACCTGTTGTTAGTTGTCTTCAAATGCACAAAAAATTTAATTATGGAAGATATCACTTTGGAGAAAAAAACTTTGGTAACCTGGCCACAATGACATGGCACTGAGGAGTTCAACCTGCATGACAGAAACCACATTGTGTGGATGAAAATTCATAGCTGGACAAGATGTCAAATGGGGCTACCAACAGCCCAAATTTTAAAACAGTCAGACACAATTTTCAAAAGGTTACCAGGCAACTCTTTGGAAACTTGCAATTTAGGTGGAGATAAAAATTATATGGTCACTTCAACATATCTCTAATGTAGTTGATTTAAAAGTTTATTGCAATTGAACCTTACAGAAGGTATACCAAAATTCACTTGATACACAGGGTGATTAAAAAATTGTTAGCATGCTATAAGATGCACACAACAATTGCACATAAATTCTAATCAATTCCTCTTAATAAATTAATAGTAATATCATGATTCAAAGTCCCTTGTTGAAGTACACATATTTCAGTGGAGTTCCTCCTCTTTGTTTGATGATTTCTTGAAGTTCAGGTTCAAGTTTTGAGACTGCTATAGAGCTGCAAGGTGGAAAGGCAAAAAACAACTCGTTTTATAGCTGGAAAATAATCACAATTGCTCAATTTATTGTTTTTTTTTTGTTCTTCTCCTACAGTTCAAGACAATACACTGTAGTCACTCCTACATGTATCTCTTTCCATCCTAAATTTATCTCCCATAACCTCTTGCTCCCCATTAAGAGGAAAGGGTTGCACAGTAGTATTTTGTGGTGCATAATTTGTGGATTTCATCTTTTGAAAAATGTGATTTTGATGAGGTATTCTTCATGTAATCTGTGAACCAAACACTAGTTGTAAACCATTATAATTTAACCTTGGTATTTATGATTTCACCACTAACTCTAAAGTAGTAAATTCCTACAAAGATTAAATGAGGGATCTGACAACTTTCATTGTTGACAGTTTTCATAGGGACATTTGACAAATCACAGCATTAATGAATGCTGACAATTGGAAAAAACAGTCTAGAAGCTGTTTACTGATTTTCTATTTGCATATTTTTGGTCAAAGTTTGCATAATATGTTGCTCATTAATCACCCACTTCACACTTGCTGATTAGGGTAAAAGCTGAATAAATGGTTTAAACAGGAGTCCTGCACAATTTCAACTACAATGTTTTGGCGTTTTCAACTTCAAAAAATTAAACTGGAAAGTATTCCAGCCTATAATACAGTGTACTAACCTCTTTTGTGGAAAGATTGCACAACACAGGGGAGTTGCAAACACCAAGCTTAAAAGAATAAAAGAAAAAGCACTATAAGTCCCAAAAAAAGATTTGATTTCAAACAAACTGAGATTTACACCGAGAAGTACTATCATTCATGTCTCTGATTGAACAAAAAATGTTTTTTTACAGCTAGTCTTTTGCTTCCCATCTTTGAAATGTTTTGGTCAGTAAGAAAAAAGTCTCAGTATGTGTGAAATAAAAACATCATACTGTGGAAAGCGCTTGAATGATTTTTTTGGCTCTTGTTGCAATGGATCACAAACTCACTTATTTGCTTCAATTACTTGTTTATTTTGCTGATGCATTGCAACTTGTGAATAAAAATTGTTCATGCATACTTTCTGTGGAATAATCTCTATGTATGTAATTATCAATGACAAATGCAAGTCAGAGTAGTTTTTGCATTCAGTTCTTTTACTCTGCTTTTGTACCCAAACCACCCTCTTCCTGTGGTGATCACTACACTCACAGCTACCATGACAATTACAGGAAATAAACTGCAAAAGAATTCCAAAAACTACCTTGCACCATAACCTCGAAAGCCAGTGTGATGCTTTGAATCCCTTATTCTTCTTGGAGTACTGATTCTTTTTTTTCATTTTCAGCAAATTCTTAAATTTCAAGAGGCTGATATTGCTCTTATTCACCAATCATTACTAAAAAGTTATATACCACTGTCTTTTTCTTAGAATCCTTGTCCAGCAAATATACCTAATATCAAAACTTTTGAATATATTATCATGCTCTTAAGGTATGGTTTTCTGTATCATACTCACCACAATCCCACTAATCCAACTTGAATTGGAGAAGCTAAAATTGGCCACCGCTAAGATTATAACAAAGACAGAATTTTTATATATCATATTCAAACATTATCTAATGAAAAACAAACACCACTCTCTTGAGAGGCCCGGTCAAGAAGCCATCGATGTATATAACCTGTATTTTGTCAGCAATTATAATCAAATCAACAAATATTAATATTTATTCACTTCATCACTCATAAGTTTATTTCACTATACAATCATTTCTTTATTAAACTATTCAGTCACTTAACATTTGCCAGTACATTTGAACCTATTTCAGTCCATAAAAATGACAAAAATTTAAAATTTAGCAAAGCTGGGTTAGAGAAAAAGAAATGGCTAAAGACAAACTTGTTTAACCAAAGCTTACCTTCATAAATGGCTTTGTATCTAGATAGTTCATTATAATTGGTGGGATAGCTGAAAGTAAAAGGTGCAAAATGTTAAAATACTGTTAAGTGGTTTACTGCAAGTTTACAAACACATCCACTACAAGCCTGCCCAGAGGAACCTAATCATAGCCAAATGGGAGTAGCCCAATGAAGAAAACTAACAAGCACTCAGAGTATCTTGGCTTGCCTTTATCTAGTAGTTTTGTTTTAACGGCTCTACTGCTGGACATCTCAAATTACATAGCAAGCTAAAACATCTTCTCCACTTTTGTGGTGATCAACCTAATAATTAGAAGTTAATAAAAATCTCATAGATTCAGCAATATTGCCAGTCACTAAAGCATCCAAAAACACTCCAATACAATATTGTAATATGCTGTTGACTAATGAAGAAAATATGTGCGGTGCAAGTAATCCTTGATAATTTACATGTTAAAGGTCTGTTGGCTAACTTAAGAAGTATTAAATAATATTATGACAATGTCTAACATTAAAAAACATTATGAACCATAGAAAAAACTCATTATGGTAAGCTTACACATTCCAGGAGATGCCATAACTATTCTGGAAAACACAACACTTCCTATGGCTTTCCGTGCTGCAGCCTGAAATGTGAAAAGAGCAGATAAAAATGCAATGGTTGAGCTGGCAGAGTTTATACAAATTTGGTGCAATATGTTGAACTGAAAATAAATGATGGGAGGTCAAACTGTCTGAGTAAAAGTGAAGAACAGTTCTCCATAGCAGACTACTGATTGTCTGTCAGCAAATCTTGGCTATTTCCCATCAACTCAAGCAGTTTCTGGGCCAGCAAGATTTAATTAAAGCATAGGCAAAGTGTGGTACAGAGTGAAACATATTTTTACATTAGGGAGAATAAGAATTAGGAGGTAAATTCTGAGCTGACTGGTGAAATAAAAAAAATATTATTTAAAAATGCACTCAAGTAGAATAAAAAATTTGTGGGAAACTGAGCAATTTTTTTTTAAGGGGGAGGGGGGTCAAGGATGGACAAAAGGAAAAATAATGACTTCTATATTAAGTTAGTATAATCTGAAAAAAAAACTGCAATTGAAGAAAATGCTCACCTTTGATTCTCCAATTCTGTTTCCATCTTCATCAGTTACAGGAATTCCCCTCAATAACTCCCTGCAATCAGAAACAAATTACTTACTTTAATTAAAGAAAGACAAGTATAAAATTAATCAAACTATTTCTACTTCAAAGTAAAACAGCTAACTGATGAAGAGAAAAATGTGAGATCCAGGATTTCAAGTCCCATGCAAATAAAGGAAGATCAATCAAATCTAGGATAAATAAAGATTTTTATTCTGTTGATGCAATAATCATACTAAAAAAGGACAAGTTAGTGCTCCTTTGAAGCAATTGAATTGAAGTCCCATGCAAATAAAGGAAGATCAATCAAATCTAGGATAAATCAAGATTTTTATTCTGTTGATGCAATAATCATACTAAAAAAGGACAAGTTAGTGCTCCTTTGAAGCAATTGTATTTGTACCATGTAAAAAAAATCAAACCTATTTTACTGTTATGTAAAAGATATGCACTTAAAACAATTATTTAAAACTTAATAATAAACATGAAGAAATTACACCCTTCTGATTGACTGAAAATGAGTGCCTTCTCATGTAACAGAGTGCAAAGTTGTAACATAAATGCAAGCTACAAGTACATTTAGCATGCACATCCTTCTTGACTTTCTGTGATGTTTTTTCGTGTGCCTTATCAACAAATAATAACATGATTTCTCTTGCAATTTGGTGTAATAAGCACTTGTTAATTTTTCAGACTACAAATTGCACTTGCCCTACTAGGTCATGCAATTTTGTTGTCTTAGAAAAATTTACTCTTGCTTATTAACACTAAATATCGCTTGAAATCATGTTATTACCTAATTTTTATACTAATAGTCAGCAAGGAGAGTCCACATACGTTTGTCGCATAAGAGGAATGTTCACACAGTTTGCTGCAGCAACAGCAGCAAATGGAACAAATCTACCAATCAAAGGTGGAGCTGACTGTAAAATTAACCAATCAAAATTAATGGTTATCCCAAATAGACTTATAATAGGCAGTAAAGTTTGAACTTCATCCATCACCATTAATCCTTTGGAGTTATTGGATTATGGGAACAAATCAGTGCCCTTCTCATAAAAATCATGTTGATTGTTGACGGTGTTACAAAGTGCAGATGACAGATAACTTTTCATCAGTTGCTTAACCAAAACACAGCAGCAGACTCATGAAATAAAATATTTCATTTAGGCTTCTGTCCACTGGGCACCCAACAAACTTCTAGATCTACAGTTGGACCAAAAACTTTTATAAGTCCATGGTTGACAATTGCCTGGCCTGTCTAATAACTGAGTTATCAAAACATGTTAACTGCTGGCCTATTGAATATACAAAAGGGGACTGCACTTCACCTTAGTCAAGTGGTTTAATCCCAAGGCAACAGCAACAGCTCCTGTTGTGGCAAATGCATATCCCATTCCCAACTGTCTGTGTCAAAGGAATTAATAGTTATTAATATCATCCAAAGTAACATAATATTCATTGATAGTAATGATTTTAACTTGTTTATTCATTCAACAATTACAATATGTTATTTTATTGTTAATACTAAGACAGTGAGACAGAGATAGCACAAAAAGATGATTTTAACTTATTTATTCATTCCACAATTACAATCCATGTTTAGTATACACTAATTATAAATACTTAAACATTTAACACAGATTATAAGGAGTACAAGGGACCTATCTTGTCTTACTTTTTGGGATTACCCAATCAGAACACAGGATTCACTTCATCTTGTTTGCATGTGGATAGCGAGGAGCATGTCTCAATAATTAACAATTATTCACTGAAGATGAAGTGAATACTTTGAGTAATCTCAGAGACAAAGTAGAGGGGATTATTCAAAAGTGTTCACAGAGCCTGAGGCAAATAACTGTTTCAGTATAACTGTTCAGGTACTTTCAAATTCTGTTATAAATTCTGTAAATAAGGAAAGCACTGTGCATAGTTTGTATAATTGCAGTGATGACTTGTATCAAGATAAGCAAGAAGTTTACCAGGTTTATTCAATTAAATCAGTAAAAACTTAATAACTTTCTTTTGAAAAGTGTTCCATCAATCTCAGTAGCATCTTTTGTGCTCTTCTCAACTAAATTTTGTTTATCACTTCCTCAGACACATTGACAAAATGCAATGCAGCCACCTTGAAATTGGAATATGACGAGAAATGAAAATAGCAAGATATGATGCAATCCTCAGCCAATCAGAGCATGCACATCTCCATAATCACCTGAACAATTATACTAAAATATAGATATTCTACAAACACATGCAATAAATTGTCAAAGAACCAAGATATAATCTTACTCATTTGTTATTAGTGAGTCGCCGCTCCGGTTTGTGTAGTTCACTACTGCATTAAATGACTGATTGATCCACTGCCAGAAGAGAACAGCTGACGTGCTCCTGAAAAAAAATTCATTAATCATGATTTCAGACATTCTGAAAATTTAGAGCTTCACCAAAGTTTCATAACATTATTATAATAGATTTAAACTGAAACTACCAGATTCAAAATGTTGCTGATTTTTCACCCATTTCTGCCAAGAGTTTATCCCCTTAAACTTCCACGAGTGACCAAGAAAGAATTTCTCCTTACAATATCAAAACAAAATCAAGTAGACAAGTTATGAGAATAAAGAAAAATATAAGTTAGGGGATTATAAGATGATCCAATACCAAATTCTCCAAACTAACATCACAAGAACTGTGTGGGAGATAATAAGGAGAATTACTAATAAGATCTTGGGAGTTAAAGGGTTCACAAGCAAGGGATATATTGTATGCCCTCTCAATACTGGTTACACTACAATTAACAATTAGTTCATATGTCAGCATGCGTTCATCGAGATATGAAGCACGCAGGAATTTGGAGAGCATGAAAGATGTGTATACAAGCAAGGGGTATATATAATGTAACAGCTGACATATGAACCAATAATTGTTTTATAACATTTTCAACCCAATGGAAAATTTTTTTCTTGAGGGATTTGTTTGCTGACGTCATGAGCGTGCATAATAGGAATATGAAGCATGCTCATGCAATTGAATTCGAGTAGACAAATTTACTAGCTATGTTATAACATGAAATAAAACATGAGATACTAACTTGTAAAATGTCAACATACAACCACATATTGACATGTTCATTGGTACTTGTGCTGACATTCGTCCAATAATGAACATTTTATCTCCTGTATCAGGATGGAAAGCTGACTCATAGACTTTCTTAGCAGTCCATATTTGAGCATCAGTGGTTCCAGCAGGTTCTTTTTTCTGCCTGCAAAAATTGATGAGTAACTAGTAATAAGTGTAAAATTTAGAGCCTTTCTTATTTAATAACCAAAATCTAACACTGTAATGCTATTGAATCATGTTGGCAGAACAAAAAGAACTCACAGCAGTAGGAAACAAGAAACATATTAATTAAAATATTTGCAAATAAGCTCTGAAACAAAAAAAACAATTACACAAATACAATCCTTATTCTTTGAAGTGTGTCTGAGTGTTTGTCTGTCTTCCCTTCTTGTTCTCTTTCTTTGTCTTTTTCACTTTTTTAACCTAAGCTTAAGATCACAACCTTATATGGGTAAGGATAATATTTATCATATATTCCATACAGCCCATGTGCATTTCTATTGAAAAATACTTCTTAAAATCCCTGCATGGTGGGCATACACAATGAAGCAAGCAGAGCTAGAAAAAGTCCTACAGCTGTGTGAAAGAAGAAAGGAAGAAGGAGAAAGAAACTCCATCCTTCTATAAAATGCTTAATAAATGAGTCAGGCTGAGTTGAACAAGACAATATTTTACACCAGGTCTCTTTGTTAAAAGCCTGAGCCAGATATTTTCCCTTCAAGCCCTTCAACAAAGTCGAAAAGTATATATAATAGATAGCATTACAATCACAAAATTGGTATTTAAAATT